GGATCAAGATCAATAAAATTGACATATGTGTTTATAGTAAGCAACATAATTTTTTCCTAAATTCTGCTTTCTCCAAATGTATACCTCTTCCACCAATTAACCTGTTGACAGAGTTGTAGGTGATGGAATTCTGCACTGTAACTACAAATTACTCTTTCTCATCATCAAAGTAGTAAGTGGCAATAGGAAAAGATGTTCTGAACACAGGTAAAGGCAGAAGGGCAGGATGTGAAACTCCAAAGATGTCTGAAAAATTTTGAGTTTGAGGAAAATACAGAGCTCTTTTCAAAGTGAGCCAGCCATCTTTCATTCACCCTTACATCCTTCAGAGAGAGACTGATCAATTCAGTTACAATGTGCTGGCAACAGGCACTCTCCAAATGTTGTTTTAACAGCTGAAGGAGTCCACTGAAGGAAATAACATTTGTTATTTGGAGTATATTTTCATGCATTACTCTTAATTCTCTGCAGTTCAGCCAGGGTCTCCTCAAAGTATGCATTTTTGGTAACGATTGCTGTGGAATGAATGGCAGCCATCTGTAATGCTGCTCATCTGCGTCGTCCCACTTCTGTCCGGATACTGAACTTTATTTACATTCACTAATCACTATCTGTTACAGAACGTGCTCCAATATGAAACCCTCTATGACAGTATTTAAATGTTACTTAATCTCATAAAAATTAAATTAGCAGACAGTGTTTGCCATAGAAGATCTAATAATGCAGATGTTTAGCTTAGCTGTGACTTCAGAAATCACTTAACAGAAAATCTAGAGGGAAATGTATAGTCTAGCAATTGCTTGTGGAAATCAGCTACATTTTTTTCAGACATCAGGCAAATGAGGAAGATCTACACCTGGATAGCTGTACAGAGTGAGGGGCATTTCTGAAGGATCCATAAAGATTGCCTAAGATTTTGGATTTTGGATTGCCTTGTACCACCCAGTTGCTAGATACAAGCAGCTTTTACTTCTCCTGCCCAGTGATCATGTGCTGACACTGAAGAAACAACTGACAGATTTCTGTAGTTTTACAGATCAGTTTCAGAAAGGGCATACTTCTCACGTTGAGGGATAATTCCCTTTTCAGATGGAAATGTGGGTAAGGCAACAAAAGCAGCAACAGCAAGGAGAAGTTAAAAACAAACTTGTGGAGTTTACTTTATTGAGGGAATTTAAGGGAGATTTTAGGAGAGAGAAAGCCCTCCTTCATCTGTAAGCCCATTTGTTACACTGCAAACTCATCTTGCTAGCATCTTAGTGATACGCAGAAATCAGATTTGGGTTTCATTGCACTACATGTGCAAACAAAGTAAGGAGATAGGCCTTCTTCAGTGAGATTAAAACAATCTCAAGAATGGATAAATAAATATGGGCATAGCTGGTATTGTAGAAAATGGGTAGCAGAGAGGGTAAAAAATAAAATGAGAGGATATGTAAGCATATGCAAAGTTTGCAAGGTTGACATTCTGTTATTACGTTGAAAAGACTACAGATATATTAGCTGTAGACAGAAATTCTAATAGTACGAATGAATAGAGTTTGCAGAGGCCTGTGTTTTACTCTGCCTTTTCCCAATGTTGATTGATATGTTGACTTGTCAGCATGATATAATATGTAAGAGTCCGTTTACTATGTGAGTAAACTTAAAAAAATAGGATTCAAAGTCATCAGTAGGGCACTACCCTCGAGACAGCATCTGATAGCTGTTCATACAGATTAAAGTATTTATTACTCATATTTTGTATAAAACCTGAATGATTCTAGGACATGTAATAGTCAGAACAGAAAAGACTTTTTTTTTTTTTTTTTTAAATGTTTAAAGAGCAAGGTGCAGGATTTGTCCTGGTTAACTTTACCAGCTGTGAGGTTACATGTCTCCTGCAAACTTGTCGCTTTAAGCTTTGTCAGTGAAGAAATACGGGCACTTCCAAAGCACTGCTCATCCCACCTGTCTCGAAACAGCTGCTTTAAGGTGCATTTTTCTTTCACTGACATTAGAGGGAACCTTGATCACCAGCTGACAGTAGACACCTAATTTTTTACATTTAAATTTAGGTGGGTGAATTCTTGTCCGTAACAACTGACTTGAGTAAAGGCCAGAGACTTCAGTCCTCTATACAGCAGTCTTAACAAACTCTCCTTGTGATTTTGAGCTGGACATTTCAGCCGATATTTTCAAAATTAGTAGATCTTGTTAAATGTCTGGCTCTTGTCCAGCTTCCATTTCCTCCTCCAGGAAGTATTACTTTCCAGCCTCTGTAGAGAGATTTGAACTTCATTAATAAAATGCAGAATAAAATAATGCAGTAAGATTGTTGTTTATTCATCTTCAAGTGGAACCAAGATGTTTCTGAAAAAAAAGAAAAAAAAAAGCCCAAGTAAAATTACTTATGGTACAAATGCACAGCAGTTCCTTGAGACTAATATTTTATGGTGGGTGTGGGACTGTTACTGCTATGTAATTTCCAATAAGTCATTTTCTTAGTCTTGTGCTCTACCTTTCTGGCATACCAATGAATATCAGGATAGCTTATGAGGCTTTTAGGTTAGAGTTAACACTAAAACCAATATTTTTCTCTCAGATGTGTTAGTGTACTGATATTATTAGTCCCACGTCTACTAGCCTCTGGATATTTCCCTTCCCAGGACCATCATCAAAACTAACTCTGGATATGGCTATGTTATGAAAAATATAATATCAGTGAGAAAAGAAAAAAAAATAGAATCAAATCTGACAGCCACATAGTGTCAGTACTGGATCACGTGAAGAATAAAGGCACCAACCCCCATTTTAGCTTCATTCTTTGTGCCAGCTGTTTTCCTCCACAGTCTCTTATTCAAGAGTTTTCCACTACTAGGCTATAGCAATGAAAGTTAAATTGCTGCATGAAATTAAATTCTCTCTGTTAGGGAGTCTGGACGCCTGGTTCATCCTCTCAGGATGTCTTTTTATCAGTGCTGGGGAAACCTTTGCAGTTCCCTGTGACTGCAGAAGTAAGCTAGATACACACATGGTCAGATTGCTGTGTTTGTTCCTCCTTTCTGATCCGGTGCAGGACTGCTTGAGAGGTGCCCCCAAGCAGCTCAGATGATGTGATTTGTTACCCTTTATGTTCCCCTTTTCCACTCCCATGCTTTTTCCTCTATCATGCTCATGCACTCCCAGATAAACAGCCTGTCCGTTTGTTCTTTACCTACTAGCTCCAATGTTGCTGATTTTACATCCTTATTCAGTATTTGCGATAACGTTGCCCTAGTAATTTCTGCCTCAGTCAGCAGAGCTGTTAAACTGGTAGCCCAGTTTGTGCTGTTTCCTGGGTTGCTATCTTGTTAGTGTAGCCTCAAGTCAAGACTAGCCACCTGCATATGCATTACTCCCATTTTGCTTTGTTATGTCTGGTAATTTCTCACGTTATCTTGTTAGTGTAGCTACCGTTTGGGTTTAGCAGTTTGCACACATATCCTCGCACCCAGGAGTCAGCCTGGTGCAACTGCTGGTGGAAACACCTTCTCCTTCATCTGCTTGGTCTGAAGTCTTATATGTCATGATGGAACTGCACCTTCCAGTTTTTCCCAATGACTTGCTAGGAAACAGCAAGAAAAAGTGGAAAAGTGCCTTTTCTAGTGCCTGAAATAGTTGCTGCTGCGGTTGCTGCTCACCTGTATGGTGCATCTTCCTCCCTGGGCTTACACATGTGGTAGCAGGGCATTAGGGATGTTTTTTCCCTGAGGTAGAAGAAAAGAACCAATCACAGGAAAAAATTCTAGACTAAGTAAAATGACAGTATATCTGGTTTCATTTGTCTATCTAGTATCAGCTTACATTTCCCTGCCATCGGACTATCTTGTCACATTGCAGTCTGAGACAGCACCTGCAAAACAAACAAGCAAGTTAAAATATAATTATGAGGATTAGAATTAAATTTATCCACCAAAAAAATGCATGTCCTTCCACACACAGATGGCTCTTGGTATGTCATAAGACATATCACCATGCTAAGTAATAAGAACTATACAGTAGTTTCTTTGGTTAAAAAAAAAAAAAAAAATAGAATTTGCATCCTGAACCTCATAATTTGTTTCTTATTGACAGTTTAGTAGGACAGTAGATAAGATAAAAAAAGGGATGATTCTTTGAGTTCAGGTTTGAACTAAATCCAAATTCTGAATGAATGATAGAGGGTTTTTTATTTTTGTCATGGTCCACCGCTTCTGGAAATGCCAGTCTGTGGCAAGCTGATCATACTGCCACAATAACAGTGCTATGTAAACAAGATTTCTGTTTGGGTACAATATGAAGGATGAGCAGAGATTGTCCTTTAAGCTGTCCTTGTAGGTTAAAACATCCCCCATCAAATTCGGCTTGGATGGGGACTTTACCAAGAGAAAGATTTAACAAATCCTTTGGCAATAAGACTTTGTGATCACTTTATTACGTGTTCTTTGTCTAAATGTAGCTTGTCTACCCTGACTCAATTACAGTTCTGTTTCTGTAAAATATTTTGCTTTCCATACAAATTGCTGAAAAGGATTTTCAAAGTGTCAGTATGTGTTAAGCACTTAATATTCGTAGGATCTTCTGAAAGGCCCATCTGCTATGCAAATTAATATCTAAGAGTAATTTCTGAATGGGTATTCATAGAGGCATGGTTCAGAAAACAATTAGCATATGTTTACCTTCCAACGATTACTGTAAAATACAGATTTTTCATTGGATACTTTATACAATGAGGAGTGATTTCCCAAGCTGAAGTTGTATGCATTACAACTAATAATACCAATATATTGTTTGCTTATCAACAGATTTGAATTTTATTTGCTCATTCCTCGACCAAGTTCGATTCTCAGTGATGGAAAATATATTCATTCGTTTAACTATTCATGAAGCGTGTCCTCTGTGATTGTGTTATTCCCCACCCTGTGGGATGAGGTGACTTTTTATCTCAGTTGCTTTCAGGAGCGCGTGTGCCCACCGACTCTTTCTGTCCTGTCCCCTAGTGCACTTGGTGGACATCTGGAACGTGATAGAAGCCTTGCGGGAGAACGCACTGAACAACCTGGATCCCAACATGGAACTGAACGTGGCTCGCCTGGAAGCTGTGATCTCAACTATCTTCTACCAGCTCAACAAACGGATGCCGACGACCCACCAGATCAACGTGGAGCAATCCATCAGCTTACTGCTCAACTTCTTGCTGGCAGCCTTTGATCCGTAAGTCTGCCTTTCTTAGCCACGTGTGCTTCCCTCCTCTCCTGTCCTGGGACAGGATTTTACTTGCTCAGAAATATCTTTGGAAAACAATTGAACGAGCTAAATTGTGACCCAAATAATGAGCATGTTAATAGTGCTAACTAGGGAGAGAACCTAAATTAAGGACCTCTGCTTTCCTTTCTGTGGAGCCAAATTCAGCACGACTGTGTTTTCATCCTGGTACTCAGTCCCGTTCCAGTTTATACCAAAGAATTATCTACAGAGACAAATTTACATCCACTTCTAATTTGCCTTGTTACTTATTGACACACCAGTGGCTGACACCACTGCAATGCCTCTGCAGCAGTGACATGGGTTAATAGCTCATTATTTTGAAAGAGCTCATTTTCCTGCAAGTTCTTGCAGCTGTAAGCAATTTTTTCTTCTGGCTCATGCCAGTGCAGCGTGGTTTTGAGACCATGACAGAAATAGGATAAAGACCTGGAGGTGATGAAATTCATGTTGTTTATAACTGCATGAAACCCATATTGCAAAAAAACCCACCAAGTTTGAGACAGAGCATGCTGTTTACCTTAACGAGTGTTCTGTGTATACATATTACAGTTTCTGAATGCATAGTCATCAACCTGTACATTCGCGGTCCTAGAAAACAAATTATTGGAGAACAGTGGATAAGTCTTGACAGATACAGATGACCTATTGCCTCTTTATGGCTTATATTTTGAATATTCACCGGCTGAAAACATTGGCCATAACACTTTAAAATAAGGATGCTGCCCCTCTCTCTCTTTTCCATCCTCTTGCTTGAGGGCCCCGGTGCTGGGTGTCATCGAACACCTTTCGGAGCCAGGCCAGCTGGTGGCTCAGTCACCATGGCAACGGGGAGAAAAAGTAGATGTTCCACATGACAGGGCTGCACCCAACCTCCCCTCCAGCCCCTCCGATGGGAAGAAAAAGAAGCCAATCCGTTGTGAAACCATAGCCAGTAGGAATATTTTTCTCCACTCAAGGGCAATAAAAGAAGGAAGAACAGGCATTTTATTTTATACCACTGTATCTGTGTCATGAGCACTGAAGGATGGTGAAAATGGCCAGATGCATGCATTGCTGCATGCTGCAAACAAACTGCTTCCCAGCTGGTAAACACAGGGGAAGACCCGGGACTGTGGAGGCAAGACCTGCGATAACGTGCTTGTTTTGTAGCTCACTGTAAAGGGCTAAAGATCTCCGCTAGACATCAAGGCTACTTGCAACAAAATGAAGGAGAGGAATTTGCCTATAGGGGGAAGAGGGATGTAACTGTGAGGCAGGATGAAGTCCTTTTCTCACTCTCCCCCCATTTATAGAAACTGGGCAGTTAAACTAAATTCCCTGCAGTCTTCTCTGATGAAAAAAGGAGGTTTACTATGTACATGAATCATACTAAAATCAAGACAGTCACCCTTAAAATAATCCTGTTATCTTTGATCTGGGTTCACTCCTCTATTTCATAGCCTTGTGTTTTAAGGCAGTAGTTGGCTTGCAGAAATGCTATCCAAATTTCTAAGTGGCTACTGAGGAGTTATTTTTTATGTTTATTAGTGAATGTTAATATGATCACATTTGATTCTATGAATGCAGACAACAATGGAAAAAAACCCAAAACCTTAACAAATCCAGAACAGCTTTCCAAGACCAAAACAGTAGATCAAAACCAAATAGCTCTTCAGTATGAATGAGAAGGCTATTCGAAGTGATCATGAGTGTTTTTGGTGTTTGTGGCTACGCAGCGCGATGGCTGCTCCTGCTGCGCTGTGTGCAGGTCCAGAGAAGGTTGTGTGGTTTCTCGTGTCCCATTTGAAATGCAAAGACAGAGTGGAGAAATGAAGTCTGCAACTTAACATACGTGAAAGGACCAGAAGGGACAAGTTGATATAAAACCTAATAAGCCTGCCACTGTCTCATTTATTTAGTTCTAGTTAATATATACTGCCCCATGTGTACCATGTTGGTTGTAGTTCCTGCAGGCTTTGAACAGGGCTTCTTCCTTTGTATATAGCTTGCTGAAAACCGGGTGGGTTTTCTCAGGAGCTAGAACCTGGCTAGCAAAACTTAAGAGGAACCACGGTGCAATGCTGTGGCATGTGGTGTTTGGCTGCTGACCGGGTTCAAACCACGACAGCCAGCTTGCCCACTGCCTGTGTTGAGCTTTCATCCCAATTTTTTTGTGATTTTTTCACAACCTCAGGGATTCACTAGGCCTACAGATAATTATATTTCCCTGTTGCTCAAGCCTGAAGGGAGGAAAAAGTGGGGAAAAATTACAGTGTGTAAGATTTCACATTACTCTGAGCATGATGCTCCTTCACACTAAACCAAAACTAAAGTGCAACCTTATAAAACTGCAAGTCAACAAAATCAAAATTCACAAACAGAAATGCTGATCCAATTAATTTGCCATCAGTGTATGAAAGTCAGCATCGCATGGTAGAGGACCCCAACAGACCAAAACCACAGAGCAGAATGAGGTGGTCAGACTTTAAAAAATCTGGACAAAACCATGTCTGTGTTTTTAACTGCACTTTAAAATTGGGCAATAGTTTTTGCTTCAGGGTCTAAGGTGATTAACTGGCTTTATGAAATAACAGCCTACTTCCGTCACTGGCACGCAAGTACTGTGTGAAAAGATGACACGTTCAAACCTCTCTGAAAAATTCATCCCAGGCCGGTGTCAAAGCCTAGGCAGCTGGGTGGAACATCAGCCTTGTTCAATTGAGCCGTTCCCAAAAAGACTCTTTTTATACAGACTGGAAAATATTCTGTGCTAGATCATCTTCAGCACTGACTCAGTATTGCAATATAGCTACTCCTGTTGAAAAGTTTAACTGACAATGAAACAGCTGGTTTTTCTCTGTCCCTTGACATACCTGTCCTACGAATGGAGCTGTGAGCTCTGGGCTCTGAAACAGACCCAATCTGGCTGGAGGGGCTTGACTTCTACAAAGAAAAGAGGAAATACTCAGGCCTTTGTTTAATCATTTGAATCATGAGTTCAATACATAAAGATGTTCGGTATCTGTTTTGGAAATATAGCTTCTTGCTCATCCGTCTATTCAGAGCTGTGAAGTGTTTAATTCCCTCTCTTCCCCACCTTTGCTAATCATTGAAAGCCACGCAGGCCAGCTAGCTTTTACGAAGGAAGTCCAGCAAAAAATGCATTTCAGAGATTTGGTCATTATGCATTTTGCTGTCTTAAATGAAAGAATTTTGACTGATTCCAATAAAATTTCCACTCTGAAACCTGTTTGTGAAAATGGGAATTTGTGATTACAGCCTCATGACATTTCAGAATTGTCTGCCCTGAGTGAGATGGTCAGTAGGAGGCCCACAAGTAACCGAAAAAAAATCATTACTTTTGGGGGGATAGCACTGAGGACCACCACTTCATGCCTAGTTAATGAGAAAAAATGTATTTTCTCAATGTCCATTTCATGGGACACATTTGCTATTTCTAAAGATGTGATCCTATTTCTTTATAGCTTTCCCCACCATATGTCTGTCTCAGAAGGACTATTGCTAGAGATCCTGACAAGTGTCAGTGTTGTCCATTTGGTACTGCTCTCCTCGCTGACCCGCAAGGCACATTCAGGCCCTAGAGCTGGCCTTTGCCTTCTGTGGTCTGGGGTTTATATCGGGCAGTCCATGGGGCTTCCCTGCTCCGGGGAGAGGCTGTCTCTCTCTGCAGCCACGCATTTGAAGAAGAAACCTTCTTCTCTGCTCTAGTGTCTAAAAGCATGTATATTTTTTTTTTTTGCCCTTTTTTCCCAAAGCAGCAGGAAATAACCTTAAGCCCTGGCCATCATTCCCTTTCCTAAGTATTCCATCCTGTGTTGTTGCTAAGTGCACGTTAGCTTCAAGGTTTGCTTTTGCTGTCATTTATGCTTCTGGTGCTTTTCTGTAGGGATCTGAAGAATAAGCTCAGTAAGAGAGGTGCTATATAAATCAAAATATTTTCTGTCCTCTCCTATTTCCACTAGTAAAATTTATATCTCTCTGCATTAGCCAACCTAAAGCTTATTTCAGGGAGCACTGACTTCAGTAGAGATCTTCATGCTGCTGTGAGCCACTGCTTCAGCATTTGCTTTTATGCAGGAAGCACTGTGAGGCCCCACTGCTGCCAGTCAAGGGCATCTGTAGTGCTTAGACATAGCTTAGGGCACTTCTGGATCTAAATGATAGTGGCGAGTCTTAGGCCCCATTATCCTATCTGCTCATCAGTCATATATATTCATATATGCATGTGTGTGTATGTGCGCGCACACACACACACGCAGAGGGAAAATTTGTAGGGTAAATTGAATTTATACTGGCTCTAATGATGTTTTTATGAATACAGATGACCAATACAAAATACAATGTCAAAACTAATCAACTCAGAAGGAGAGATTGAAGAGATAAATGAAATCTTTTTTTTTTCTGATCTTCTGTTCCATAACTGTTGGAGTATGGGAAAAGCCAATGGCTCTGGGGTGGAAAGCTGAAGGCGAGTTGATATGTGTCTGCCATTCAAGAATATAATCCTGTTAGTCAATGTAACTAAACCTTCTGGGAAATATGATCTAAATCTGAAGCACTTCCACATGGGCTTTAGTTTTTCTTCTAATTCTTCCATTGCTTCTTAATAACACCATTGCCTCCACTTAGCATTTATTTTCCCTAAGTATAGTAACTCTTTTAAAGGCAGGTGAAAACCTCATGATGAAACAGTGCAGAAAAATGCCCAAAGGTCTAAAGGGTAGCACACACAAAAAGAATATAAAATGACCAAATTCTCAGCCATAGCAATACTAGGTCCTGGTTTACACAAATTAGAACCCAGTCAATGAAGGATGGAAATACAGAAGACTGGAAATTACTATATTGTGATTTTAATCTTATGGAGCCACTCAAAGAGAACACAATGTAATGAACAAGAAATTGTGCATGAAAGCCAGCATTAAAAAACATAGTAAAGATTTATTTCTTAAATACTGAAGTAGTGAATTTATTTCTTGTTGTCTGTATCTCTAATTGATTTTCTGTCAAAAAGAATTTTAAATGAGTGTAAAGAATATTTAGAATTAATATTGAGAATCATGGGTTACCCTGATGTACACTAAATCCAATGCACCGAATTTTAAAGATTATTAGCTAGCCAACCTTAGGGAACTGACTCATTTTCCAAAGTCTGAGTGACTTAATGAATGTAGCAGTGAAGCATGTAGCATACTTTAATGTACTGATATGTGTATACCATTCATGTCTACTATATATGTATATCTTACTGCATTAGTCAGGTTTGGAGTTAGCAGAGAGACATAGTCACAGTCTCTGTGCATTTCCAGAATCAGTTTTTCTTTTAGTTGTGATCAGATACAATTTTATTCATTAGAATTATGAATGATAATCAACAGAGTAATTTCAAAAATATTGACGAATAGCTACATTTCTATATATTGCTATTGCCAGTGCCGTTGACTATCTCATGTAAGACATAATTATACATTTTAACAGGAAATCTCTTATAAATTTAATGTTTTCTGATAAAGACTGAAGGTCACAGAAATTCCACTTCCAAAAAATGACACAAAACTTTATTATCTGGTCCCATCGTTAGCCCTGTCAGTAGGATTTAGAGGAAGACATGGGTGCCATTCTGCTAAGCTCACACATATAGGCTGACTGTCTCTTTTTTAAAGCATAATGACAACATGTTCTCACTGATATCATTAAACAGGCATATGGGAAGCTATTAAGTAATGCTAAGGAGTTTGAACAACAGATAGAAGTTGCTCCAGTGCAACTGAGAACTCTTAATACCTTATAGTAGGACTCTGAAAATTCCAAGAAGAAACACATTTCAGCATTGAGATGCCCAAAAAATGAACATTAAAAAGCAGATGAACTTACAAGAACATATTAATTCTCATCTTTGGGAAGGGACTGAACATTATAGCATTTTTGTTCTGCCATTCCTGTCGACACTGGACCTAGTTTTGCGTGAACTCGAGGGATAGGTCTTTTAGGAGCTAAGAGCACCTTGCAGTGTGTGAAGTCATGCATTTGAATATTATAGGTTTCTATAATGGCAGGTAATCATTGGGGACCATCATGAGTGTAGAGGGAGAAGGAGGGCAGCAAGGGGAGCAATCAAGTTAAGCCGTTGCGTGCTTGGAGGCAGTTGAAGGAAGAGTTGACAACGTGCTAAAGGTGAACACAGCATCCTGAGAGTGCACTATATGGTCTGATCCGTCCAGGGAGAAGAAAGTCTTTTCTTTTTACCCAAAAGTGACCGGATTTACAGAAGAAACTATGTCTTTCTGTCCCAAGGCATACTCTGGTGTGCATTTGGGGTTTAATAGCGTTATGCATTTTAAGTTGAAAATAGAGAGCCAGTCATAGCCTCAACTTGAACAAACCAGGGACAAGACTCTTCTACATATCACAGCAAATATCCTTTGCTCATTCTGGATGCAAGTATTTTCCCCATTTTTCAGCAAAGTCCTTCTTAAAGGTTCATGGGAGTCGTGTGCATCATTTAAAAGGCAATTGTCAGGACTTATTAACAGGTACAATACGCAGCTTGTGCAATCATGTGATCCCTTTCTGCTTTTACGGATTTGTTCCCATTGTTGATTTTTGCACTTATTTGCAATCTTCTAGGGACGGAAGATGCACAGTGCACTTAGGATAGGGAGACCATGGGTGTGATAGGTGCCTTCCAGTGCTACTGTAGCACAAATAGCAGTAACAATAATCACCTTAGTGTATAGTGAGATAAACAGTTTAATGCTGTTTATCTCACTATACACTAAGCTTCATATACAAACTAAAGCTGTTCTGAGGTCTTTACAGAATAATGTACTGATGAATATTCCCACAAAACAAACTTTGTTTTAAAGGTCTTATTTCTTTGTATGTCAATCCACATAGAGTGCACTACAGTATGTCATTTCAATGATATACATGTTAAATGCAAAGAGGTACGTATTATAAAATGGACATTAAAATATGTCTACTTTCTACTTTTGAACAGGGAAGGACATGGTAAAATTTCCGTTTTTGCTGTCAAAATGGCCTTGGCAACTCTTTGTGGAGGAAAGATCATGGACAAATTAAGATGTAAGTCTTTTGGGTGACACTTTTTACCTGTTAATCATTGTTGTAGTTGGAGAGATAACAATACAAGTAGGAAAAGAGGGAATTAGGATTAGTTCTGTGGCTGGATTTGGGGTTTGCACTATATATATATCCAAGAAAAGCCTGCTAAATTTTTGACTAAACATCACACCAGACTTGATATTTTTGAAGCCAAATGGCATATACTGAGGTTCTGATTGATGGATTTGGGGGGGGGGGGGGCAGGGATGATTGAATTCAGAGTACAGATAAATGCCTCAAATGTTCAATGTCATGAAGCATCACTTAGAAATTTCTCCAGACTTTTTTTTAATAACATCTCTCTCATTTCACACTTAGAAGTACAATATATTTATGCAGTATTTATATTTCTTCCCATAGGGCACATAACAATTCCATCTATTTTGGAGAACAGATTTCTCATTTCTCAGTATTTATTTCCAGCTCCCAATAGCCAAGGCATCGTTTACTTGTAGCTGCAGTGACTTTCTGTTTAGTGCTATGATGTCTGTAGTTCAGGTCCAGAACACCATTTTCCAAATTTTTTGACCAAAGGAGTAATGTCAACCTTCAGTTTGCTCTGAGTCTTCTACCACAGCCAGAGAAAATTCAGTTTGCAAATTGTTGTGGATTAGAGTAGACAAGTAGAAATCCCAGGTGGTCATTTAGTCTTCCAGATTTGATGCCATTTTTTAATATACTATTTCTATGTAGAAACTCAAATACAGATTGAATATAAATTATATATTGAACACTGTTTGTTCCCTAGGCTGCTTTAAGAAGAGGAGCAGGGTCCATCCAGCAGAAGGCTGGAGTACAATGATTTTTCGGGTCAGCAGTCCCAGGGTCCTGTTGTCAGAAATTCCTTTCCAGGTTCCTGGAAATGAAGCAGCTGACGTGACAGCCTGAAAAATTATAAATGTTCCTTAATCTATCATCCCCTGCTAAGCTTAGGATAATTTTCAACAACAGGAAAAGTAAAGGCTGAGAAACATGCATCCCTGCAACAATAAAACTGTGATATTTTTATACATGAACAAAAAGGCAAAAAAGGGAGAAGAGTCCAAAGTAATGCATTTGAAAGACCTTCAGTGTTTTGTGTGTCCAAAACAATAACAATTGACTTAATGAACTCATTGTCAAGATTTAGATTTGACGTGGTAAGCTGGCAGTAAGCAAAAAGCTGATGTTGCGTATCTTGTCAAATTAGATCCTTCTTATCCGATTAAATTACTGCCTCATGCCATGCATCAGACTTCGCTTAAAAAAATGACCACACACAATGAACAAAAAAGCAGAAATATTTTAATATCAAAATCTGCTACATTTTTATATGTAAATCATTCTATTTGTTCTCTATTGAGAGGGGTTATAATTAAAGATGCAGTAATAGTGGAGGCTTCCATAAGCAGAACATGTTGTTTAGCACTTCAAATCTGATGATACTGAATTCAGAGCAAATCTGTAGCTCTCACTGAAGTTGCTGTGTCCTTTTATTTTCTTTCCCCCCCTCAGATATTTTCTCAATGATTTCTGACTCCAGTGGAGTGATGGTTTATGGCAGATACGACATGTTTCTGCGGGAAGTTCTCAAGCTGCCCACAGCTGTTTTCGAAGGACCTTCATTTGGTTATACTGAGCAATCAGCAAAATCCTGTTTCTCACAACAGGTAAATAAAGAGTGAGCATCCAAGACACAGGATCTCAATCACCACTCATCGGGCCAAGACTTTCTTCCTTTCTTACACACATGTGCATACTCACCCAGGAAAAGAATGGCTGGGTAAATTGGAGGTCTATTTCACTGATTTCTGGCACATAGGTTACATGCCTAAAATAGGAAACTAGTCTTTATAGATTCCCATATATAACCACAGAGGAGAGAGAAGCTTAGTCAAAAAATGATTCAGATCAGGATCTTAACTTACATGTTCCTAAATTAGTGAACCTGAGGAGCCTAACTTCCTAATTTAAGCACCTACGTTAGACACTTACATTTAGGTGATACAATTACCCAAAGACATGCAATCCTCCACTCCAGTTAGTTGGTTTTGCTATAAGCATATATGAGACTTTAACTTCTCCATATAGAGCTCAAATCCCAGTGAAAAATCAAACTACGTGTTTTCCAAGTGATGTTGTACGCACAGGAGAAGTTTACGAGTGAGAAGAGAATTGCCTTGAACCTTTATTGAAATTGGTTATTAGAAAATCCCTAGTCTCCTGCAGATACCATCAGTGAGATAGGGTCAGGAAAGCACTGTACTGATCCTACAGAAACTATGAGATTTTTCCACAACTCACCAGACTCTGTAGGTGCACTGAGTACAGTACATTGGCTGCCGCTAATAAATACCTAGCACTTCAAAAGATCCCATAATTGGGGCTGGTTTTCCACTTCTCCAATGGAGAAAGGGATAATTCCTCTGGCTCTTGCCACACATCACACTGTATAATTCCATAAATATAAAGAAAGGGAAGGTGCTGAAACTGGGGAAATGTTAGAAATAAAGTGGTATTTTTTTTCTCTTTATCCTTCTGTTCACTCACTGAGTACTGTTGAACAAATAAGTTGAATGGAACAGGAATAGTGTCATTTTCAGGCAAAATAGAGACTCATTTTTTGTTTTCCCTCAGTTTCATCCCTAATCAATAGACACTTCAGTCAACTGAAAGGCATTGTTGAATTTCATTTATTGAATCATCTCCCAAATCATTTTAAATGGTAATGTTTGCATATGCGTAGTCTCACAGGGGGAGTCTTAAGAGAGCACTTCATCTTATGTTGAAGAATTTACATAGTGAAGTGACTTTAGTAGTTTTGTGTTAAAATAATAAGAGTGCTCTTGCATGGCAACAGGGCATTCAAGCTTTGCATGTTGGACATGATATTATTAAAGGTGTACAAAGCAATTTGTTTTCTCAAAACAATGTCATTCAGGCCTCATTTTCTATCTCAGCAGCCATCAAAAATGGCACTTTCATTGACATTGCATCCAAATGAGTGGACCAGATGCGCTAAGGTACCTTAAAAAACAAAGTCTCTGAACAGGCAGGTTTAGTTCACAATCTCCACTCAAAGCTAATGAGAGTTAGTTCTGACTGATGTAGGTACACAGCAGATTCACAAAGCTGCAGGTTTGTATCTTAGGCAGACAAGTACTCTTGTAAATCTAGTCTAACATTTCACTTAAATTCACTTTATGTAATTCTCATGAAGCTCTCACTAGGAATAAACCAAAAGTTTTGAAATGAAACTCAAAACAACATATCCCTATGACACTGTGATAAATGATATTTACAATCTTACTCACAGTGTAGATCGTTCTTTCACTGTCTCATATTGCACTTAACATTATCAAAAGTTGATGCATTGGGATAAGTTTGGCAGTCTCTCTTGTTCTCAGTATGGATAACTTTTGCTTATCAGAAGCCTTTCAGCCCCCTAATACATAGATTCCTCAATTTCAGGAAAAGAAAAAATTATGGGAATGACCTTCTGCTCATGGTGTCAAATCCATTTCAGCTTGCATCTGAAAGGATTTTTCCTATTGCAGAAATGTTTTATTATTCCCCATTGTACTAGTTTGTTTGATCAAACCATGTATTTTCCTCCGTCTGTGAACCACTGCTAGATTGAATGTCTATTCAAAATAGAAACAACAGTGTTTCCTCATCAGCAAATTTATGGGGCAGAAATGCCAGAGCAAGTGACTTAATGTTTCAGAATACAAATCTGTGGCTCAAAAAGGAGTTTTATCACCACGACTTTCCCCCATAGGTAGGGTTAATGTGATGTTATACTGTATCTGTATTAAAAAGTGTTGTTATTATTATAAAAAACAATTTTTATTTCTCTTTTTTTATCCCGAACTAAAAGGATAGACACTAACTTCATTTTCTTAGCACTTGGCTAAGTGTTATTCCACAAACCTAGACTCCATCTGCATGTAGCGTATATTTAGAAAACAGCTTTCAGTTTCAACTTTCCCAGCAGCTGAAAAAAAAACTGCAGGAGAAAAATATGCCTTTTAAAACGTATGGAAATTGCTCTGCTAGTGTCCTTTTAAGGGACACTGCTCTCTCTGATCCATAAAATCAGTGACCACCAGAGGAGTTCAACCATAAAGCTGTCAGTGAAGCTAAGTTGTTTTATTTGGTACAAATCAGGTTTTAAATTGTAGCTGCATTCAAAAGCCCACTGCACTGTGGAAGAGCTGTTCTTGTCTCCCCATCTATTTGCTTGTTTAGACTGTCTGTGTGTTTGCTGCCAGCTTATCTGCCTTCAAGAGCAGAGGGAAGACTTAAGACTACTCAGCTTTACAGTATAGGGCACTGGAGGGCCTTGCTTTTCCTAGACTTCATTCTGCTTTTTCTCCTCCTGTTCTCAGTTCCATTGCAAACAGCACAGACATTTCCTAGTGGCATTGGTCAGCAAAGCCATGCCAAACATCCACAGCAGAGCTCCAAAAGGAAGATCGTTTTCTGTGAGCTGATGCTGATAGCATAGGATGCCTACTTGGGAAGTAGTTATCCAGTGTCCGTGAGTGGGAAGATCATTTATAAAACAAGCAGGTGGTAGCTGTTTGATTGGACTTTCATACTGCAGGTATTGTCAGAAAAGATGGTATTTCAGTGAGATGTAGAGCTTGTATTCTGGCTGTTTCTGTTTATTAAAGAGTCAAGACCATTTTCACAACTAGCCTGAAGTATTTCCTCTTCTCGTAGGGACAAATATCTTTATCTGTTTCCCAATATCTTGCAATATTTCAGCCCTGAGACTGTTACAGAGTGAGATGTTTTCCATTGATCACTTAGTGTATAACAGAAATAATGATTTTCTTTACCTCTGATGGCAATTGTATATAAATGCAGCACAGACACTCCATCTGGAAATCTCAGCTCTTAAAAGCATTCCACAACACACAGAGATGAGACATGTCATTGTGTAGCTGCTGTTTTGCTTCCTCATGGGGTAACCACAGTTCTTCAGCAAGTTAAAGCAGTAGTTTATGCAGATATGAAAATTTAGCAATCCCTTTGGATATGGGGATGCTACTTAAATATGCATGTCTATAAATTATATCTGCACGCATTCCCAACAGGGCTCAATATTTTTGCATCTTAATTTTATTTTAAAGTAAGTCTCAGTTGCTAATTTCTTAAAGACTCTCTATCCTTGACCACCCAGCGGGTGTGTACTTTAGCACACACTTAGGCAGTCAGTATACTACATAGGAAAAAGCAAGTATTTATGATGGAGATATCTCAGGCTGAAATATCGCCTATAGGTCTGAAAGAACAAATGAACTAAGATTTATGATGGCTTTCTCCAGATACCTAAGAAACTTTAGGCCCTAGATTACACTTTTTAAATCAACAGGGTTATTTTAGAGTTTAAATCTCTTTGAGAGATAAAGGGCCCTAGTTCTCTAAGTGCTTACAGGTGTGAAGAGTTTAGGAACAGTTGCAGTCCCTGAGTGTATGCAAACACAACATCCCACAGTCAGAGCTCATCCATAACTAGTTGCCATCACTCAACAGACTAAGCATAGTTTCTCAAATTACGGTAGCACAATTTCCTGTGATGGTCTGTCCTTACCTTGTATTTGTTTTGAAATTATACTCCCTTATCATTACCTTCTTTCATTTTCTTTCCTGGAGTACCATCAGTCATTTTCTGCAGTGACTCTTCATGTGAAAGTTGGTAATACATAGTGATACCCTACATGCACTTGTACTTGTTATGGGGTGCTCAAAACACATGAAAACATGAAGAGTTGAATGCCAACCTTATTCACAAAGCATCTTCAGGCAATGACTTTAGAAGACAGTCTTGAAGTGAGTGGGATCTAGGTGTTTCCAACCCAGCCTTGTGAAAAGGACTGCTAGTCAACAGTAGTATACATTGGAACTACTAAAAATAGTCCAGAAAAGCTGTGCTAGTATCACTCATTTTTAGCAAACCAGGGCTACAAGCAAAGTGTCTGGAACTTGCTCCCAAGTGTTATTGTAAGGACAAGATAAAATCATTTTGATATGTCTAATTACTGATTCTTTGTGCATGTTTGTTTGCTTGTTTGAGCAGAAAAAAGTCACATTAAACACTTTCTTGGATACTCTCATGTCTGATCCCCCGCCACAGTGTCTAGTGTGGTTACCACTTCTGCATCGACTGGCAAATGTTGAAAATGGTAAGTTAGAGCTGCTGCCAAAAAACAGTTACAAGAGTAAACTTTTGTGTGGTGATTTTCTCACTGTAGATGGTTTTGTAGGAGCTACTGTACTGTGTTGATTGATTCCATGTGCTATTTTTACAGTCACTGGTAAAATATTTAAAGAATCCCGTTGGTCATTTGGCCAGGAAGGTGGCTTGATTTTTGCTATGCTCAGGGAATTAACCTGATCATGTCCTCTCCTCCTGTTCTCTGGATAAGCAAAGAGAGATAGACCTTGATCCGTTCACACACTTATATTTGGTAAACTATCAAGGCCACAACTTTTATTAGCTATGACATACGGCAGCAGAGAAGGAACAGCTTGGAGTTTCCGTTCATGCAATATTCTTGGCAGGAGATGTCCAGTGCAACACAAAATACCAGCCAAAAGGTCCTTATGAAGGATCTCTTCCTAAACATACACTGCCAGACAATATACTCTGAAAAGGAAGTTCCAGATTTGTCCTTATCCTTCACGTGTGTGAAACAGGAGGATTCCTCTGTAATGTGTCTCTTTCTCCTTAAGTGTTATCTTTCCCCCAAATGAGTAGACCACAGATTTTAAGACAGGAGGGGACCATGAAGATCAACTCATTTGATTATTGCACAGTGCGTGTTGCATGTCCCTGGACAGTAACATCTTCCTCCATCTTCCAACTTCTTGAGCACCTGGTGAAAAAAGTACATAGACTCATAGGTGTAGTCCTCCAGCCAAAGCCTTCACATACTGTGTTTGTAGAAGGTGCTGCCACACCGAAAATGCAGGGGCAGAGCTAGAAAGCTTGTGCATCTCATCTCACTGTGTGCACCACCAAATTGCAGCCAACAAACTGCCCAGTTCCTTGTGTAGATCTGGAGGAGTTCTCCAGCTCCAGTGCAGCCAACTTCTGCTGTCCAGAAGGACCAGCATTGACAAATTAAAAAAAAAAAAAAAAAAAAAAAAAAAAAAAAAAAAAAAAAAAAAAAAAAAAAAAAGACAAGAAATGCCTTTTTACTATCTTATTATCTGGGTGTACTTATCACTAATGTTGCATTTCTTGCTCATGATCATCAGGAGGCAGTGATGCTGACAGTCATTATTCTACCACTTTAAATGTAAGAAAAGGAGTATTTTAAAATGGAAGAAGTTTATATAAAATTTTTAAAATATTAATTTAGCAAGATAAATAGATTTTTTTATAAACAATTTTACAGCCCAAAATTTTGCCTCAGAGGTTGTTGTGTAAGGGGCTTGTTGAATATTCCTGTGTTGTTGCTCCCTTGAAGGTTTACCTCCAGCAGCACTGAAGCTTTAGGATGTTGCAGGGTAAAAGAAGTGGGGGGGGAGAGGAAGGGCAAGAGGAATAGAAGATCACATATACTCATCCTCTTAGGCAGTAGAAGTATTTACACCATATTTCCAGCAAAAAAAATGGGGTCTGGTAGAAGGGGCAGTGTGCAGCCAGTTTTTGGTGATAAAAGGAGAAAGAGGAAGTCATATGTGTTCTTGTACCAAGTAAATCCCTCTTCCACTGGAAGGCACCAAGGTTGGTAAGGTGATGTTCTCAAATCCTTCTTGGCTACAGAGCCACTTATCTACCCCCACCTTCCTCAAGCTCTTCTCATCCATGCCTGTCCCTCACCAGCTTTGCACTGTTCCCCAGCCTAGAGCACTAACCCTTCCTGCTGTGAAATTCTGGCAAGGAATTAAAACCCTGATGCACTGATCCAAATCCTTCCAGACTGAACCTTACAACAGAAAAGCAGAAGGTGCCTGGGAACAAGGAGATGTTCAGTACCCCGTGGTAAATCGGGTACATGCTGTAGTGAGGAGAGAGGAACAGAAATAGCATTATTGCCAGGAAGGGGCTTCAGAATCTCTTGAGTAGTGCCTTAGTGTGCTCAGTGACTCGCATCCTTGTCACTGTCTGCTTCTGAGTGGGACAGAGAACAGGACCACACGGGTCCCTTTGATGGCCAGCTGTCCAAATCTGGGCATCCAAAGCCAGATTCAATGTGTTCAACTCCATATATAGGTACCTAAATGACACCAGATGTACAGATGAGACAGCAATAATTAAGAGACAGCGACATGCTTAAGTACACTTTCGTGCTTCCAGTAATTATACAGCTGAGTTTGACTTTTCCTCCAAGGTGCATCACTTTAGCTCCTCACAGCTGAGCAAAACATTTGTCTTCCCCCAGTATTATCGAACAGAATCACAGAACGGTCTGGGTTGGAAGGAACCTTAAATATCATTTAGTTCCCACCCCCCTGCCCCGGGCAGGGCCCCCTTCCCCCAGCCCAGGGTGCTCCCAGCCCCGTCCAACCTGGCCTTGAACCCTTCCAGGGAGGGGGCAGCCCCAGCTCCTCTGGGCACCCTGGGCCAGCACCTCACCCCCACACACACAGTAACACAGCTGAAGGGTGCAGTGAATTTTGCCACATATGAATTTCCTCTATCATATATTCTGTTAGACACTGAACACATTTTTTTGCTGCTGCGAGCAGGAGGTGCAGACATCAGCTCAGAAGTGATGAAGGATTTGGTGCCCGGTGTGGGAAGCGTCGCCCATGGAATTAGCACAGGTTGCTGGGCGGCTACTCGAGTTTTCACGGATCAAAGCTGTAGGCAGCATCCGACGCTGCAGATTGCTAGAAACGAAGAAGGGATTCACCCTTCAGTTCGGGCTCTGTCTGTAAACTTTTGCTGGGGGTTTCTCTGCTTTGGTTTATGGCTCGGCATTTCTCTCTCCTGCGCAGTCTTCCACCCCGTCGAGTGTTCCTACTGCCACAGCGAGAGCATGATGGGGTTTCGCTACCGCTGCCAGCAGTGTCACAATTACCAGCTCTGTCAGGACTGCTTCTGGAGGGGCCATGCCAGCGGTTCCCACAGCAACCAGCACCAAATGAAAGAGTACACGTCATGGGTAAGGGAAGGCTTGCGCCTCGCTGCAGACTGCTTTGCCCTCCGGCTGCCGGAGGAGCCCCCCGGCCGCATCTCCGGGCAGCCCTCCGGCACACGGAGGCCGGGAGCCAGGCTGCCGGTTCGGATTGGTGACCCTGTCAGGGAGGCTCCGGCCTTGGGAGCCGTCGGGAGAGCACGGAGGCGGGAATGGTCTTTTCTGGGTGAGGATCTGGGGCGCCTGTGACAGTGCGTGCGGCGGGGAGGGCGGCGCAGGAGGGGCTGGCAGCAGGGCACCAGGCTCGTGGCAGCTTTTCCCATTCCCACAGGAATCATGGTAAAATCGTCGTTGGCTTGCTCTGTTTGGCTACGTGTAAATGAAATGATGAATACTTAAACGCTCGTTCATCAATATTTTCAGCTGAGTGGCTGCAGCATATGTGTGGCATTTGGGATGGTCCTGGCGCTGTAGATTTGAGCATGGTCACAGGCTTAGATCCACAGTTGTGTTTACCGTAGGGAAAAACACACTTCAATCTTTTCATTATTAAGCAAAAAAATTCAGTGCTTTTTCTAACCTGAAAGAGAAGTATCAACAGCTACATTAATCTTCTCTGAAGGGCATCAGACCTGGGGGCTAAGCTCTCCATGGACTGGAGCAAAGCTCCAACCGAAGCCCTTGGTCACAGAGCATCCCAACCCTTAAGGGTTCAAATCCAGAGATCAGCAGAAAAATCCTACCTAATCTCAAATATTACAAAAGTATGTTGTTAACAAAAAAAAAAAAAAAAAGAAAATTATGCATACAGCAACAACTCACGTTTGTACAGCACTTTGTATTTTTCAACAAAAGTTCTGAAGTCTACCACTTCTAAAATGTCTGGTTTTCTGTTGATGGAGCAGGTGAGGGTTAAATTTGACATGGTTTGCTCTGTATGCCAGTCACACGGCCCTGCACTTCATCCCGGCAGGTCTGGATCTGTAATTGTTTTTATGGGTCCTAATTGCTGTTTGTTGCATAGACAAGAATTAATGGCTAGAGTTTAGTCTCTGAATAGGAGAGTGCCACTACATAACTCTGACTCCATTCCTAACAGCAATTTGTGCTATAAAATAATTTTTTGCCGTAGCCAGGGAGCTTTAATTATGGGTAGGAAGTAACTGGAAAACTTTAGATTTCTGCTCAGCAGAAGACAAAAATGTGACTACATGCCTAGCGGTTTCAAATGTTGCCTTGTCAGAAACAACTGTTTTGCTTCAAGTTTGAAATTGCCTTTCTGTAATATTCATTAGCATTTATTCAAACCTGGCTAGCATTCTCCATAATGCATCTTTATTGAGCTCCACAGGCAGATTAAAGGTGTTCATGGGTGCTGTGGAACTCAACTGTTCTCAATTCAGAGTGAAATGGCATTTATAATGAAAAAGCCTGAATTTTACATATTTAGGTTGGATTTCTGTAGTAGAAATATTTCATTATCATCTTGATGACAGTGATAAGTCGATGCAAGACATGTGTGCACAGATGCAATACCATTCCTGTTAAGTTCCAAAATGGTTTTAAAATTTCAGCATGTAAAGCTGTGTTTTGGGGGTAGAGACAGTGTAAGGATCCCTACCCCTGTTTTACTGGCAGAAAAGATGAATCACAGAGAGGTGGATTAGATTCCCTGAGAATCTCTCAGACAGCCTAAAAGACACCCTAGATCTCCAAGCCCTTCCTTAAAAAAGCGTTCAACTGTAAAGAGTGTCCAGACAAAACTAGAAAGCAGAATTTTTTTTTTTTTTTTTTTCCTAGACTCACTGAATGGGATTCTAGAGTGAAAAGCATGCTTCTTGTGCCAAGCCTCCCAATCTTTTGGTGACGGTGACAGTAGGCCAGCCACTTCTGGCACACTGTCACCATGGTGGGGCAATTCCCGCCATGCACGTGTCTCAGATTTCCCGTTCCCTGGTGTGGCAGGGGCTGCAGCAGCCATGGGAGGTGGAAGAGGAGCTTTATAACAGCAGCTAAACAGTACAGGGTGCTGGAGCTGAGGAGGGAAATACTAGCAAGGAGAAAGAATATAGCAGCCTTGTGCCTGGCCCACAACTAGGAAGGAAACAGTGTCCCGTAGAGTGTATCTGTATGGACAGACATACACAGGTTTGTTCTGCTTGCACTCCCAAGACGGTGAGGTACGAGCCAGCCCCCATCCAGGCAGCTCTTAGCTTCGTGCTGTCCTTCATTTAATGCTACCTGAGTGCAGCATTGCAAAAAAGCCATGGCAGCTGCATCTGTCCATATAGATTTACCTTCCAAGTACCCTCTAAAGGCCCTTGAAGGTAAGAGTAGTCATTCCCCCAAACTGAGCAGCCTTTGCCTTACCAGACACTCGGGGTGGGAGGGAGGCAAGAGGGATGTCAGTCGATACGTGTGTAAGCCGTGGAGCTTCCTGTTGTTTTGTGCTTCTTATAGCAGAAACAGTATGCACCTTACTTGTCCAGATTCTCTACCACCTCTACCTTCCTTGTTCCTCCCAGAAATCACCTGCTAAGAAGCTAACTAATGCACTTAGCAAGTCTTTAAGCTGTGCTTCCAGCCGTGAACCTTTGCACCCAATGTTCCCTGACCAGCCTGAAAAACCTCTAAACCTGGCTCATATTGTGTAAGTATCTGTGTGCTGTAGAGAAAATAAGCTTTGCTGTAGGAATTGCTTTCACCAAGTGTAGATACTATAGCTCTGAACAAAACAGGAGGCAGCTGTGGCCAATCAGGCTCAATGCATCACAAGTGTGAATTTGCTGATAGGTGTGTTTCCTATAAAAATGTTCTTCTGGTGTGACTTCACTTGAGAAGTTAGTGGGATATGTGCATGTAACCAAGTACTGGGACACAATGTTGTTATGTCCCCCTTCTCCTCAAGAGATATCCATACAATTTCATAAAGTTTCAGCACTCGGGAATGTGTTCATGCTGAGAACGTTAGTTTTGTCATCTAGAGATTCTCAACGTCAGTGTATCACAGGTATGTCTTGACACAGGGCACCAGACAAAAGTGAAATTTGACCAGTTTTGTTGAAATCAGTGTCAGAGTTCTCGCTGACTTTAGTGGAGCTGTGGCTTCACCCAGCCCTGAAGCTATGAGTCTAGGAAGCGTGTCTTTAATTGCCAAGTCACTTGAAGAGAGTCTCTTATATTTACATTTATGATATTTTGGGAAAGCAGGTTTATTTTTTTGGTTTAGTAGTTTGTGTCACTACTTTTTCTCTGCAGGAGTCAAGAAACTCAAAGCAGGGAGGAAATATATTTGTGCAGAGCTGGGGAATTATCACTTTGGATTTTTTTTTTTTTTTCTAAAGCATGTCCACCATCCATAGTGGCAGTTGCTTATATTTTCTCATTTATCAGTTTGTTTCCTTTGCTTCCTGAGTCCTTAAAAAGTTAAATTTACCATAGAATTCAGGAAAAATCAAGACATTGGTTGGAAGAAATTTACAAAGAAATTAACTTGGAAAAATTATCCAAAAATACTGCCTTTAAAGTCTTTCCTTTATTTTGATGTATTTCTTAAGAAAATAACTTTCTTAACCATCTTGCCAGGGGCCCTGACTGAAGCATTTCGGGCAGCAGCCATTAAGGTTGTATTTGCATGCTGCATATCCCCACTACTGGCTGCTGGAACTATTCCAGTCTGTAACTGTTACACCTATCTGCTTTTGTCAGTACTGAATGTTTGTATGTAGCATCTTTAAGGACAAGTGTACACTGGCTACTGTGGGCTGTGCAGCGCCTGGGAAGTTCACCTAATCTACCTGACATTTTAAGGCTAAATCGTGCTGATGGTCCTCCTCGTGTGGTGGTAGCAGGACTTTTTCGAGGTGTAAAAGAGTGCTCTGCTCTTCAGACAGAAGGTGCCTCTGGTAGATACATAGTGCCAAATCCCTGTTAGGCTTGACTGTCAGTTAAAACCCCTGCGCCTCCTCATTGAGGTGTAACGGGGAGGATGTTGTTCTCTGGAAGAAATCATCGGGAGCTGAATCTACTGAACTACCCCACCGCTGTGCGTGGTATAAAAGCCTGACTGCTGGCAAGTCAGGGATCATTTCACAGGGCGGATCTTGGCCATCCTTAAGAGAAATGGAAAGAGATCAGGGAGCATGAAACTGAAAGAGAAGCCTCTGTTCCCTGTTGGCTTGAGGCCCTCGAATGCCTGGGAATATGTCAGAAGACAACAGGTAGTGAAAAACTGGGCTACTGTGAATAGATTAAACGCATTTAGTCAAGGCAAGGGGAAGGTACCATAATTGAGTAGGATCTGTTCCAAATCTTTGCTGTGAAATTAACACCTTTTCTTCTTCTTAACTATACAGACATAATTTAGAGTGATTGGATCTGAGAACGAACAACCATCTATTTTGTTTTATGATAGAGTTTCTCTTTATTCATAGATGAAGGCAATATAACTTGGCAATATATATTGGCTATAATGATACATGAGTGAAAAACCTGTAAGTTGTGGAGGTAGCATGATCTACAGCATAACTCACATAAATTAGCTGAGGGGAGATATGCTACAGTGCCTCATTGAGAATATCTTCTCGCTGATGTGATTTTTATTTTTAAACATAATGGAAGTTGAGAGAAACAGCTCTGGGCAGGAATCCAGGCAAACAGGGTTTTATGTGTGCATTAAATGGAAGAATTTTGGCAACAAAACAGTATTCTTTTCTTAGCTTATAGCTTAAATGGGGACAAGTACTCTCTGCATTACTAGACAGCCTTTGCTTTCCATTGTTCTTCCACCTTTGAGTGGTACCAGACAGAAAGACTGCATGTTTTTTTTCTTTTACTGGTGGCACACAAAATTTTCAATTAAGCAAGAAACACATCTAAGGCTCATCTAGAGAGAAGCAGTTATCAAGACCTCATTAACCTGATGGAGAGACTCCCTCCACCAATGGAGGGTTCATTTTTTCCTTTCTATACACAAAAGTGGCAACAAAAACAAAACACCAGACTGCAGAGATGACAAATGGTGCAGCCAGTGCATCATGGAGTTATTTTTCGAACGCGTTCTGCACTGGCCTGACTTCGTTTCCATCTAAGCCTGTGGGAGCATTATTTTTGACATCAGTGTGAAGAGGTTAGACCAGCATGGAGCACTTTGGAAAATTCCTCTTATTTAATTTGGTTTATTACTGTGGATATGTGTTATGCTATAACATGCATTTATTACATAGCCTATTAAGAGCTTTCTGCCTCCTTGAGGAAAGTTGATTGAGTATCATCAGCTCACTTTTATCGGAAAGCTTAATCACTCACTTCTAGAAGTTTAGAAATAACCTCAGAAAGATATACATTTATAATCAGTAGCTGAGTTCTCCTTTGCTTTACCATAAAGTCTGCTGTTCTTGTCTTATCACATCACACGACTGCATATGTGTGTTTGAACATCCAGTTGATGCTCAAGCTTTAACCTGAGGAATGTGACAGTGGGCATCAGCCTTTAAGAAACTTGCCTTGGGAAAGCTCAGATGAGTTTAATACAATTTTCTTCATATAGGAATTGACAAACTAATGCCAATCATAAAACCTTAGCAAAGCCTTGGAGTTCATAGACATTTGTACACAAGAGTAATTCTGCATATGTAAACAGATCGATGACCTTTTAAGTGTGGAGGCTGTCATGATTTTTGCAGAATCAGGGTCATAAGAGTGGAGTATGTCCAATGCACTACTTAGCCCACATGCGTATTAAACTGACAATTTAATTAATGATCTTTTTTCCATTTCATTTTGGCTGCAAAAGAGATACTTGGTGAGTATTGTTCTTCTTTAGTACATTTACTGGAGGAAGAAGCTTTGAAAAAATGTGATAATCTCATTACTACCAATCCTGAACTTTTTATCAGACTCCAGAGCCAAATAAATAATTGGATTTGAATACAGACAGAGTGGAAGGGAAGAGCTCTTTCGGGGGTTAGAAGCTTTCTCTTCCACCCCTATTTTGAGATAAAGCTTAGAGAAGACATTAACCTGAAGTGTGTATGTGGTGATCTGCTGAAGTCCATGGGTGCCCACTTCCTACTCTGTCAGTAGAGGTGGACTGGGTGCAAGGCAAAGCAGAGCCCAACCTCTGCCAAGGGGGGAGCACTCCTCCGGCCTCCTTCTCTGGGACACTGTTGAGAACCAGCCTCTCCTCCCCTCTCCTTTGCTGTTTAGGACTCCACAGCCCAAGGTTGGACCCATCTTTCAGAAACCCCGGCCTGTGCCCAATTAGTTTTTGCGTGTGTTCACTGAACAGTGATTACATTGAGAAAACGAAAAATGCCATAGCCACATGTAGTTGGTGTGAACTATTTCTCCAACATCAATTACCAGTTTACAATTCCCAGGCAACAAAATACCGGTTGCTTACCTATTAAATAAATTTCGTTTCTGAGTATTCTCTCAAATAATATTTTCAAAACTCTGTATTTCAAGACTCGTACCACAATGACCTTTCCAGGGGATTGGCTCTGATCATGGCCTCATCCAAGCTCTTCCTAGCTCTGATGGAGTCCATGAGAAGTAATATTAAAGACTTCTCCACGAGTACATATAGCACAAAGTGCTGCTTCTCAAATTCGTGACTGACCAGAACTTCAGTTTTTCACATGGGTCTGCAGATGCAGGGTTAGGCTAAAACTATATTTTCATATAAATAACATGCCAAATCCTACATCTTTCTGTTCCCAGTTTTAAACTTCTTAAAATCAGTGTGATATTCTCATGCTGAGAAATCCATTTGGACTTGTCAAAGACAAGTTTTCTAGTAGTTGTGCTCGCTTTCTAATAGTTCTAAATTAAGAAAGAAAACATACAGTAATAGTTTGCTTCTGTGCAGAACTGTCTGTCTTCATTTCTTACAAATGGTTTGGATGACCAGTTGTCTTGCACAGTTGAAGCCCAGAGAATATTTTACAGGTGGCTACTATATATGTTGATTTGCACATCAGCATTCAGAAAGCAAGACAGAGCTCAAAGGGGATATCAACCAACTTGAAATCTGGACAATTTGAAGTCTGAATTATATATAGCTTCAGGTTCTGTTCATACCTGATTGAAAACTCTGTGATTTCAATAACATATTTTTTAGTTTTTCCAGAAAGCTGATATCTTTTGCCTAATGTTGCATAAGAAGTCCATTAAGAAGAGGAAATTTCTCCTTAATGGATACAGAACAAAAAAATTATGCACAAAATATTTTTTAAGGGTAGACAATAAAAGAAAGAGGAAATATTCCTTCTCATTTCATTTTTAGTAAGAGCAGGAAATAAAGAATGTAATAATAAAACTGTTGTTATTAATGGGTCCTCTTAAACCAGATACTTATTTTAAATTTTTATTTGGGGGTTTGATGTGCCAACTGAAAAGCTTTGCAGTCAAGTCAGTTTAGTTCTACATGTATTTTATGGGACACTGAGGGCTGTGAGTCGCTATGTAGTTAGGTAGCACGGCGTTTAGTGCCAGGGGTAACCCCAGGAAAAGCTGTGCAATTTCCTGGCAGTTACCCCCTGCCAACACCCGTGCTGCCACAGCGAACCTGCTACCAGGGCTCAGCCTAGCTGGTTGAAAGCAGTGACTGCACCATGGACTGCAGGCTCTGGAAAGAAAAAATGGCATAGCGGTTATTTTGCCAAAGCAGGAAAAAAAAATCAAGCAGGTTGCTTAAAACTCGCCTCAGCACACACAAAAGCACTGTTTCTCTCCAGGCCTAAATAACACTGTGTTTTTAACGACTCCAGATTAAAAACCCAGTGTCTTTAATTTGGAACTATTGCTACTTAAAGCAGAAGATGCTAGTAGTAATGTTACTTTAACAAGAAGCTCATTTAATTCTCTCTAAATACTGTTGCTGATGAGTTTTCTTTTTTGCAAAATTAATGCAACTGGATATTTTGCCACTTTCTAGGCCTCCCCGACCTGTAACCAGCATGAACGACACACTCTTCTCCCACTCTGTTCCCTCAGGAAGTCCTTTTGCAAACAGAAGGTGAGTTCTTGTCCTAATTTATGTTAAACCATTATGTGAGATTGGTAGGGGGTTAAATTTTCAATTCTCCCTCAGAAAAAAACAAACCCATTATGAAATTAACAGACATGAGCAGAGAAATGCCTTGGTTATTTTGGGCTGATACCGAAATATCTGGATGAAGAGCTGGAGTTAGGGCACCCCAAGCTCCTCACAACAGAGCCCAGAACTTTGGTTCTCATTTGAACCATTATGTCACTCTACATGTGCTCACATGCAACCTGAAAACGAGCTGTTGGTGAGAAACCATTTTGTAGCAGCACTGTGGGAACACAAACTGGGACATGCCGTTGGCTACTGGGAATGCCTGCATCGTACTGCAAGATACGATATAAACAAAGACAAAATGTGTTCATTCTTGCAAGACAGAGCAAAACATCCGTGCTCCTGTTAAACCATTCAGATTTTCATTAAGGCTACAAGAGAGAAAGAGTAGTCTTGGCATACGGTGACCCTTCAGCCACCATACCAGAAAAGAGTGGTTAGAAACATTAATCCCAAAGAGAAGGTGCTTGCATCTGAGAGTGCATTTTGGCTCATGCAGCCAAAATATGTGTGTAGCGTTTGCTAGCTGTTTCACCCGATCTGTGTAAGCCTACCAACGCATATAGATGAGAAGGTGGCAGGAAAAAAAAAATAAATAAATAAAGATCCTGCTCTACTGGGGAAGATGAGTGATGTGTCTTCCTTGGGTGCATTTTAATGCTTGGTTCCTGCTGTACGTGTCAGTGCTTCAGCGTTCCTGAATAACCAAACACAATCTCTGAGTATGCATGGCTACATTTTGTAACACCAGAAACAAATCCACAGTGTACCACACTGCGGTGTCAGAGTAAGTATGGTTTACTACTACTACTCTGATTTATGAACTTTTCTACCAGGAGCTATAAACAGTAAGCTCTTGGTGTTATTTTAGTGCAAGTAGCTGCTGTGTGTGACTGCAATGCCTTTCGAAAGCCAGCCCCAGAGCAGCCCACAAGATCAGATCTGCTGCCTGTACAAACAGAGTGCAAATGCATATTCATTTCTGCTGTTGGAGTATATGGAATTGTATGTGCCAGGGCAAGGCAGGATAATCTGTTTCTGGCATCTGCAGGACAGGTCATGAAGAGCAATGCTCTTTATGAGTGTAGCTGTTGCTTCTGTTTATCACCAAGAAGTCCCTGTGCTCATTCAACAAAAGTATGCTTTGCCATTTAGGCCAGGGACCTGCAGTAATAATCACAGCACTAGCTACTGTGCTGCTTGTTTTTCTTTACATATGAAAAGATCCTGATTATTTTACTTTTAGGTTCTTTAGTAATTCAGCTGACTGTCTTCAACTATCAGGATTAAGCGTATATGATCCGTGGGCCATTCGAATTCCTGTTCTCCTAGAGGAAGGATTCCTTGATGGAGAATCCCCTGAAGGCAGGAGACAATAAAACCCTCACAACCATAGGTACCCAGACTTACTTAGAAGTGGATATGACATCCTTACACAGCAAAAAGTTTCCATGATGCAGCAGTCAGTTTTAGAGTTAACAGTACACTGATATGTCAATATACCAGCAGTGTCATTGCTTTGAAGCTATTGTAACTTTTTTTTTTCAGTAACCTAGCAGGGTTTTTAAGTGTTTGACAGTTTATCCTCATTATTTTTATTTTCCACTCTTATAAATTTAATTTGCACTTTTTTATTCAAAAAACAAAGGAAAAAAGCATCCTACCAGCTGTCAAGTCAGTATCCTTTCTAAACGGTTACCAATTGCGTTTGTTGTCATGAACCCACTCTGAACACGCTGGTTTCTGTGTATACTTCTTGGGGTATTAACAAGGTTTCGTTGTTTGAATCATTCAGGTTACTTGAGGGTATAAATGCAGCCAGTCCTGTGGCTGATGAGCATTCTCTTATAAGGCTGTATGTAAATCAGCTTCACAACAATTCACGGTCAGTATGAGAGCACTAACCCACTAATTGCCGTAGTTCTGTAGCTCATGCACTAGATCATTAGCAATTCTGCTAAACTACTAAAAAGATATTCTTTAAGGAAGGCTGCGGTGGGCTAGAGGTTTTCTGTGGCTCTAATTAGTCTTTTGAATAGACTTCCTGCTGGCTCTGAGCTTTGCCAACTTCTTTTGCTTCTGCACAGCACAAATTTTCATTCTACCCTTTCACGTAGGATTAATATTAATGTATCTGAATTTGGAAGCATTGTTCTGAAAACAAAAAAAAAATACACCTTTATGGTTTCATCATCAATATATGACTTGCCTGATGCATTCTTGACCAAGGAACAAAGAGGCTTGCACAAGAGCCTGGAAACGACTCCAGGTTTCACAGACAGCCTCCTCTTCCTCTTCCATGGCTCTCGCTGCTGGTGGTTACTGTTCTGCAGTTAGTGCTGCTTGATAATAACCTTCCCCAGACCCTTTTGCTTTGCTTTACAAAATGGCCACAGAAGAGGTGGATCTAAATCCTACTGAAGCTGATGAAGACTTCCCATTTATGTAGCGAGCGTTGGATTTGGACTGATGCCTCTGGTTGCTGCACCCATTTTTCCATCATTCCCTCTCATCTTAGTGACCTCAAGGAAGACCCTGTTTAATTCTGCATAAAAGAAATACGCCAGTGGATAAGAACAGTTTCCGCAATTTTTTTTTTTTTTACTGTGGAGTATAGTGACCTTTCTTTTTTTCTTTTTTGATTAATCCATGAGCATTAGCCGTAATTCAGTAAGAAAGTACTGAGACCAAGGTACTTTTCTGCTAAATGCCAAGTTCTTCAATCTGTATTAGACTAGTCACAGTATCTTCATTCATTCTTTTAGGTTTTACTATTATTATTGCCCTGGGAAAATCAGGCCTCATTAGTGGAAGCTCATCCTCTCATACATCAAAGAAACAGATTATGGCAGCTCTGTTTGCAGTTGTGCTGATTTTATATTAAATGGTCTGTGATTCATATTCTAATAAAAATTGTACAAACTCAGGGTAAAATTTCTAGTTGAACTTAAGCAATGCTAAAAGCTCTGCTGGCTGTGTTTTCACTGTGGATAACTTACGGTTACTTTAATTTGTGTTACAATCTAGTCCGGAGGTTTCAGATAGCTTTAAAGAAAGTTTTTGTGCAATTACAATGTTTATGCAGAGGAGAATTGGCACAGACTGTCATTTGTAGCATTCCCATGTGGTTTTTTTTTCAGCTAGTTGTATTCGCATAAGAACATAACCATTTGCAACCAGTTTCTCTCTGTAGCAGGAAATGCTGAATTCAGCACAGCAAGTCATTCTGATGCTGGAAATGGATGTGGTCTCATAAGTTCAGCAAAATATCATCTTCATTTCTGGATTCATGGGTGAAAAAGGGAAATTAACTAGGAAGAAGAAAAATCTCATTAAAGGAGAAATATTTAATAACTAGTAAATACAATGACAAATTGTGGGCAACAACTGAAAGGAGATTGAACATTATATGTTCTTTGCAGTTTAATTGCATCTGAAGCATTGATTTTGGATGGGTATGCAATTATTCCAAAGCTCAGAGGAGGTCAGATTCAGGCTTTCCCTGAGATGCTTCTTAGTTTCTTTAAGCCATTGCAGAATCAAAATCCCTTAAAATTTCTCTGCTTGCTTTGCTTAGTTTGAGCCACCATGTCCATAAGAAAGCTTTCATGAGGAGGTCGGCATAAAAATTACAAGCACCTTTCTTCTAAATATATACAGCGTGCAAATTGATATCAACAGTATGCTCTGTACCGCTTAAGAACAACTTTAAAGCACTCAGAAAAGAAGAAACAAAAAAATCTGTGATCTTCTCCCAAATACCAAATCACAGTAATCTGCTGTGTTGACTGGTAGTATGTGATTAAAACCACAAGTCCCATAACTTTTTTACTGTAGCTAATATTCAGGTTTTCATCCCACATTTGTTTTTGTGATCTTCAATTACCTAAAGGGCAGCAGAACAAGGGAATATTGCTGCAGAGTAGGTAATGCCCTTGCAAAACCAGTGAATTGGATATGTTCTGGCAAAACAGGTAACTTGGGCATTATAGAAACTTCTGTCCAGTCAAGAGGAATAACTCTATACCCTGAATTAATGTTTTCTTCCTTATTTGGATTCTTTTGTTCCCAAGCTGCAGTCTGCCAGTTCTGCCTTAAAGTACATAGCTACCATAGTGATGGATATGATCTCTTTCTTAATAAATGTCTTCTTTCAGCTATCAAATTATAGGGCTACGGTGCGATAAGGTGAAACAGAACATTTTGTCTTGCATTTTTCTGTCCCCTGCCCCCCCCCACCCCCCCCACTAAAACATTTAGTTCTTCTAAAGGAGTAATAAACTGGAATAAATGGAGTGATGCAGCACATTCTGTTGAACTTGAAATTACTTGGCAATTCTGTGGTAGATAGAAAGAATGCACTGTGGTATCAAATGCCCACAGCCCCATAGCCAAGGAGAAATTGAGTCTTATTTAATGCTGAGTCAGAGTAGCTGGTGCCTTTCTTGAACTCCACATAAAAGCAAAAAGTAATTTGATATTCTACCTGGGCATAACAAGAAATTAGGCCAGATTTCTGGACAACAGCTGGCTTTGGAGCAAAACATGCTGTTGTCCATGTTTCTTTCTCTAAGGAGTGTGGTAGTCTTGAACTGCATGTTGCCTTTGTATGTCGTTTTCAGAACAAGATAAAAATCTTCCTTATTTCATCAGTAATATTCTACCTGCTAAAGGAAAGGCTTATGTGTCTGCTTGTTTGGTAGCCACTAAAGAGTATAACATTTACACCAATATTGTTAGGTCTACATCTTTGTAGACATCTGCTCAGAGTTGGAGGTTTTGTCTCTTAGTTTGAGTGGGGAAGCATTCTTTGGCATCTTACAAAATGTTCCAATTTAACAGGAATACATCTTTAAAATATATGTTCCACTTGGTAGGACCCAGAGAAACCCACTGTGGCCAAAACAACCTCTGAAGTATTAGCTGTATTTTGGGAAATATGTGGAGGATGTAGGAAGAGGTGGAAGAACAAGAAGGACAAATGTCAGCTTTTCCAAATTAAAAAAGGTTGAAGGCAGAAACAGAGACAAAGATCGAAGGGATTATACAAGAGACAGCCTAACCTTGGTATCCAAAGATACTGGAATTATGAAGGATTTAGTAAGCACCTGGAGGATAATAAACCAATGAGAAGTAACCACCGTGGATTTGTCAAGAACAAATTATGTCAAATGGAACTAATTTATTTCATTGACTGGATAAGCAGTCCAGTGAGTGAAAAAGAAGCAGCAGATACGATACAGGTTGACCTTAAGAGGACTTTTGATATAGTCCCAGACAACACAGAAGTACCAAAGGAAATATGGACTAGGGGAAATCAGTATAAGAGCAAGACTGAAAATCAGTAATTACATTTTCAAAAGTTTGCTGTCATTCTAGGAGGAGGATATATCAGCTGGGATTCTTGAAGGCTATCCTACGACAGAAACTGTGCACTATTTCTTGTAATGACCTAGCGGGAGCAATAGAGTGAGTGCATGCAATTTGAAGATGGTACAAAGGTTGAAGTAGTTATGGGAAGGAGTGCTTGGAGAACAGTTTCTAAATTAAAAAATTAGCTTAGTTGCAATGATAGTAATTGATGTCCACATGATCTGAAATCAGTTAGAGGAAACGCAGTAATTACAAGTGAAAAGTGCTGTAGCAAGGAAGCAAATAATCAGATAAAAGATGGAACATAATTGGATGGACAGAAGTATTTTAACAGAGGACCTAGCAGTTGCAGTGAACCACAAACTAATTGAAGTCAGCAATATGATTGTTAGATCGCATCTGACCCTGGGACATCACGTGGAAAGCCATTAAAACTCATTTCCTGGAGAAGGAGACATCTGCCTGGAGGTCTGCACCCAGTGTAGGGCAACAGCACAGGAACAAATATGCTAAGCAGCATGACAGAGTCCAGAGAAGACACCCAGACATCAGAAAAGCTTAGAAAACATAGCTCGTAAGAAGAGGTTGGAAGATGCAAGCTTGCTTAATCAACGAAGAAGGAAATGGATATTGATAGACATGATACCAGTTGCTCAATGAGTAACGTTTGCTTACCTGTCCCTCCACCCTCATTATGTTGCTTCTGGAACACACGAGAGGAGAACTTATGGTTGGTAGAGGGGGCATCACACTGCACTGTTAGAAGGCAAAGCACAACATCTGCCCTGGGGTCTTTGGTCTCCCATTGTGGCAATATGCTTATCTTTCCTTTAAGAACCAAAAGCTGCATTTTTGGCTGAAATGGCACAAAATGGCACACCCTATAGCCCCTGAACGCATTTTCCTTCTGTAACTGGGAAGAAAACATGAGTGGAAAGCATCCTTCTGGGTGGCATGGAGCATGTTTATCTGCATGGGTATCACTTCAGTGGAAGCACAACGCACATAAGTAGCATGCTGATGGAAACAGAAATGTGAAGCAAGCATTTTTTTCTTTCCGTGCAGTACAGCATTTCATTCAGCTATCTTCCAGATTTATTATAAATCAATAGGATTTGGGTTCTTGGGACACCCTTCTGCACAGTTCTTTTTAGAACACTGCTGCCAACCTTGGCCTCGCCAAAGGAGGGGAGTGGCACATACCTCATCTTAGTGAATTCCTTCTTCGTCCAAATAGTAAAGGTTTATATCTTCAGTCCGTTAGAGCCACATCTGCTCAGATTTATCATGCATCACATTTGTGCAACATCATCTGCCTATATACACAGACACACACCCCTGCATGCACATGTGCATGTATCCTCATGCACCTATCTTTTCATCAAAGATATTTACAGTATCAATAGCCATACCTAAAAATAAAGATGAATAATTTTTTTTTTTAAAGAAAGTAAAATGTATTTTTGGGCTGCTATATTGTTTTTTAAACCAAAAATGCTGCAGCTTGAAAGAAAAACTTAACATTTCAATCTCCATTTTTAGCCAGTGTTATCTTATTAACATGGATATTTTAGCATTGGCAAAGATGCAGTTACTGCAATTCATTAAATACTGTAATTAGGAAAAAAAAAAAAGTGGGTTTGATGAACTATCTATTTTTTCAAATCAGCAGAAGACTAGTACTTCTGGAAATTAAACTGGTGTATCCCATCACTGGATCTGAATAAGCACATTTCCATAGATTATTGAAACTATTTTATGGCAAATGTGAAGAAAAGCAGTTTAACTGTTATGGTGAAGCTTTCCAGGCTTGAAAGCTGCATTTAAAATGATGTTTATCTTGGACTCCACCTGGAAACTACACAAGCCTTCAGCTCTCTATTTAGGAGAGAAGCACATTTTGTTTGTCTTTTCTGTAGTGAAGACATCATGGTTTGCTTTTGGAGAACAGGAGGGAAAACTCTTAATTCCTGACTTTGCATTTCCTTAAAGCTTCTATCATTATTTTTAAAGCTTTTATCGTTACCCTCATTCAGGGTGCTTGAATGAGTTTCTCCAAACTCTGTTCTGTAATTAATTTCAGACATCACTGTTTACCCTCTTCTTAGTTTTCCTGTCTTATTAACTAGCTCTTCTTCCAAGAATACTGAAGTAGAGCAGAGCAAACTGCTGGCTAGGGCTGCTCCAGCTTTCTTGAAAGGCAAAGGGTAAGTTAAAGAGAGAGTATGTTCGTAACTTGCACTAACACAGCTAAACCAAAACCTTTTCCTCTATTCCTCCCGCCTTTAATATATTCTGTAAACATATTTCCTGAGAAAATTGTGATAACCAATTAACCCAATGAGCTTAGTAGGGCATGTTTAAATATTTTTATGTACACCTGGATGCGTGAGGTCTTGATCAGACACTTCTGAGTAAATCTAACGTGTGATTTCAGTATGTTAATCATGTGTGTAACATATGTGTATTTAATGTATATATATAATACATAGTATATTAAAGCAAATAGTGCCGACCTCACAATCTGCTATATTTTGAAATAAATGGCACTGTACAGCTCCAGTCCCTTGCCCAATCTGGCATCTCGCTGATTTCTGAGGCTGGCTCTGCAATCAAGTGGGATTCTACCATCCTAAGCCATTAAATACTTAACATATAAATTACAATAATAACAAAATAATTTCTACACTTGTTTTGGGTTCTGTTCTTCTTTTTTTCTAAGAGCACTTAAGTATTCATTCCTAAATTCCCATTTCGCAATCTTACTTGCTCCTGCTTTCTCTGTTTATTTCCCTCTGTCTGTCCGGACTGCACCCTCTCTCCCCCTGACCCCCTTTCAGGTTACAGTACAGCCTCGATGTTGCAGACAGGCTGGCTGATGAACATGTACTCATCGGGTTGTATGTCAACATGCTGCAGAGCAACCCCACACGGTTAGTGCAGGTTTGGCACCTTTGGGGAACCCAGGAAAGGGACGTTGGCCGGCCAAATGCTCTCACTGTTTCCTCCTGGCTACAAGCTGAAGCAGCTCTTTATGAGCACTAACCTAAAGGGAATGCGTATGAAAACAGGGTATGTCCTCCCAAAGTTGGTGGATTGTGGCAGTTGCTCTTGTTCCCTCTAGTGATGTTTAGTAGCAAAGTATTGTGAATAATTGCTTAGTTAGGAATGGCTCTACAAACCGATCTACGACGTCGTGCTGTAGACAGTGCAGGACTTGGTGATGGTACAGAAATCTTCATACAACGATGACTAACAAGTTTTCAAGGTAAAAATTTTTGAAGCAGTATATAATTTGGAGCTTCACCTTACCTTGAAAGTAAGAAATCATAATAGTACTTGAATAATGATAATAGTAATAATAGGAATTTGCATATTAACCTAGTGAAGGAAGGAGTTAATTTCAATTTTAATGTATGTCAGGCGTTTTTAAATCTGCCTGATTTCTGCATTATTTGAATCTTGTATATAAATTTGTCCTTCTCTCATTCAGACTCAGGTATGACAGTTTTTAAATGGACATCTTGAATGTAGTTCATTGTTTCTGCTGGAGTGAATAAGGAGCTTTGTCTACTAAACCCACCTGCTGTCCTAGCACTTGCAGATGGCATTGCAGCAGCCACCTCGGGGAGGGGAAACACTGGCTCACCTCTCCAAGTGAAACAAAACTTGAGTTTTTGTGGCTCTGAACCAGCAAAGTGGTGAGCGGCGTAGTACATGGCCCTAGAAAATGTAGTGCTGAACAGAAAACTGTACAGTGTTTCTAACAAAACTATACTCACGAGGTTTCTTTTACTCATAATGAACCCTTCAGTTTCCTGCACTGCTACTGCAGAGTATTTCCCAGGCTAGGAGAAACTCTCCATTTACTCTTCTGTGTAGAAGGCAACAAGCAACCTCATTTGGGAGGGTGAATGCAGTGGTTCTCTGCAGTCTTACAAAATTCACTTCTGTGTATAGCTCCAGTTGAAAATGGGAGTAATTTGCCATGCCCAGTGGAAAAAAACAGTCTGCCTTCATTGTTCTGGATCTGCTTCTCTAACTCTGTAGCTCACTGGTATGTGCCAGTGAGAAAAAAAAAAAAAAAGCAAACTACCTTTTAGTGAGGAAAATGAAAACCATTTCTTCAAAACAAAAACATTTTGAAGGGGAATGTCATTCCTGGAGAATAACTTCCAGAAAGCAGACTTACTGAGTAATATTTACACCATGGAAACAAGCTTTTGGGGCATGTGTGTAGACCAGTCATTGCCCCACCGTGACTGAGGACAGCAGTACGCTACTGCTCGGTCTAGATTGAAAGGGAGAAGGAAATGTGGGCCTGCCTGCCACAAGTGACTGACTTGATACAGTTGTTCAAGAGGAGAGCAAAGAACGGACATGGTTTAGAGTAATTTTTGGTGCTAGCCTGGTTCGCCAGGAATGATGCTTTGGATGCCATGTCTGTGATTCATTAAGCTTCAGTGAGGACCACCAGTTAGATACCCTTCTGAGTGCCTAGCCTCATCTTTACCATCTTCATCCTCTGAATTTTATCCCATATATTCCAACCTGTTCCTTCAAGGTTTTGAGCCACCCTTCCCAAGTCACAGTACATTTGTATCCAAATACGCACATAAAAATTATGTGCCATAACATCCTTCAAATTTAATGTTTTTGAGGAATGAATAGAGTGTGAGCGATAATGGCCTAAATTGTTTAAATAACCGATGCAAAGCGTAGTACATAACTTGTGATTACTGACATTAAATCACTGTAGTCACAGCATCCTCAGTGAGAAACAATCTCAGTTATTTATATAAGATACCAATTAGATTTTGACAGAAACGTAACCGAGAGGGACAGCAGTCTTAGTCATGCATCAGACTGTGCTGCATTGCCACTTTCTGCTGTGTTGCAGCGAGACCACTAGTAGAGAAAGGGCATTGTTATATTTTGATAAAGACAAGAGGAAGAAAGCCTTGCCATCGTGGAGCTCCTGTGCAAAGCCAGTTTCAGGGAGAGGCGTCTGCAGGAGGCTCAGCTGCTGCACCTCGTATCGCCTGGGGTGGCATCTTCAGGAAAAGGGGGGAACCCCTTCTGCCCCTACCCCGAAGTGGCTGGATGCAGTTGGCTCAAAACCCGCGCAGCAGCTGTTAGGAGGGTGCTGAGTTCACCTTATGTCACCCTGCAGCTTAACGATATTTGGTAACCTGAGCAAAGCGTGTCGTTAACCGTAATCAGGTAGCTTCTGATTTAGGGGAGGCTGCAGCTAGCCGGCCCAGCTGTTGTATCTGCCTCCAAAATACCACCTGTACGTACCCGTACGTGCCATCCCATATTTTCAGATGCTACTGGCAGCCAAAGATGAAAAGAGGAATGATTGTAGCTGGACCTTCATCTGCAAGAAAAACCTACAGATATACATTGGTCATAATACATAAAATTATCTCAAGAGCTATATAGTAGCATTTCAAAACAAAACAAGCTGGGGTTATTTTAGATACTGAGCCAGGCTAATTTATAGTAGCTAATGATCAGTTCAATATAGCCCGGTATACCTTCTTTCTCTTTTAAGTGTAGCTAGTATTTATCTTGGGGGAGGGGTAGAAGGGGGTGGGTGTGGTGTGATTAATTTCATTAATTTTCACTGCTTATCTTTGTTTATAATCTGCAGTTACTTGATACCACAACTAGAAGTACAAGTTTTCCTTTCCATCCCTCAAAGGCTAATGAGCTACTTGAGGTTTTTTTAGAATCCATCACTCCTGGGCAAATTAAGAAACAAGAGAAAGACTTATCTAGATTAATTGTATGGGTAGAAAAAGTATCCCTTATCCAGATGTTTTGGGTAGCTTGATCATAAAGTGTGTTTTAGCATGAGAAACCAATACTTCATATTTAATTAAGTTCATCTTTAGTGTCTGATTCCACAAAAGAACTTTTAACTGCAATTAGTTTTCCTTTTTGTTCATGTAAATTAGAGACTTTACCTAGTTCTGAATATTAATTCCACGTATTTCAGTCTTTTTCTTTTCAGATGCGGAAGAAAATAAGATAAAATGTATTATAAGTAGGAGGTTATTTTTGTTCCACAGAAAGTTATTTTCTGATTTTTTTTATGTTATACTGTGTAGCCCTGTGGTGAGTCATATTTATGTACTATAAAAGTGCTGTGGTATTTTTAAAAATGTTTATTGAGGGGGTGTACGCAACATCTAACTCTAGCTAGGAAGGCTGGTCTAATCTTCCCTTGAAAGAGGAAAAACATTCAGAGACCCAGTGATTACAGAGGAAATGTATAGACACTTGGCTCCCTTGAACAGAGTTAATTTTTATGATTATCTCCACATACCTGAGTGTCATTATCATTTTGATGGTAAAATCTTAGTGATTCTAAAGTAAATGGCAAATTAGCAATAGCGGGGGGCTCAGATGATGTGTCTCAAAGTGCCCTAAAACCAGGACAATTTTGAACGTGTCACAGATAAACAATCCTCAGATTACACTTGGTGGGTTGCTGTTAGGGCATTGTTCTTATAGCCCTGAGGCTTAGAAACCGACCCTTTAATTTGTCAGTATTTCATCTACTGAATTATTTATCAAGTGAAGATTTGTAGAATAAGAGCATGTCACAAAGACCACACTGATATCTCTATTGCAAAAATTTCACAAGAGGCTGACATTTCTGAGACTTTTCTAACCAGTGGTGACACAATTTTAAGGCCATCAGAGGACATCCATATCACTTATTGCAGAGTGCCTGCTACAGAACAGACTGATTTGACACGTCTAAAGCCTGAGAAATAGCAAAGATCCTCCAGTGTCACTCCTTTGTTCACAGGCTATCATATTTTTCATCCTTAGCCTGCAGTTTTGAGATCTTTTTTTATGAGTGTCCCTTAGACCATAGAATATTACACAGATCAACTAAACCCTAAAAAAGAAGCCCTATTTTACAGGCAATAATTTTGGATATTCACTCTACATCTGAATGATGATAATTCTGCCAGACCAGTTATTGCTGTTATAAATAGCATATAATCATTATAAAGTCTTTAAAGAAATGGTCACTAGTGGAGAAGCAGTGTTAAAAGTGTTGTCTAACTTTATTAGAAGAGGATCAGCAGCAGGATATTTGTATGAAAAATGTTCACTTTTTTTCAAAAAGATGCCTGAATCATTCTCGAGGGCCCCAAATTCTGCACACATATTCATAATATTTTAAAGCTTGTGTGTATTTCACTGTATCATTGTCCATGAAGTTGCTGGAGTAAAACAGAAATGAATTATGGCAGATCAGAACTCTGAGACATTAAAAGTCTTGGCAGCTGAAACTAATGCTACTATGCATACCTCTGAGTTTAATGATCACATAGAACAGGTGCATTCCAGAACTAAATTTATCTCAGGCATTGAAATTTAATTTACAAAGCTTTGGGACCTGTGATTTGTGGCATTCATAGACCAAATTTGATGTGCTGCTACATCTCTTTTATGACATCCACCTACACATAAATATATATCAAAGACATTAAACAGCAAGTAAGAATCAAAAAACTGCAGTGACTTGCTTCATTCAGTAAAGTCATTGTCTCGGGGGTTAACTCACAACTCAGAAGAACTATGTTGCAGATTGTGTTACACCAGCAAGTGGAACCATAATCCATTATTTTTGCAGGATGGATAATGTGGTTGCACATTGCAGTAAAAAAGAGAATTGGTGCTGAATGCTTGCTGTTTTCACAGCAATCTGTTAGGGTGTGATGTTTTAGTCATTATGGAAAAATTAAAAATTAATTACTCTGTCATGAAAGTAACCCTTATTACCTAGTTTGCATAATTTTTTTGTGTCTACAAGTGTTGCTTGCCCCTTTCTTTCTTTGGAAGATGTATCAGGCCAGTAAGCATGAGAATGGAAGAAGCAGAACTGTATACATTTAGAAAAATACATTTAGCGTAGGTCTTTTCAGAAAATAAATCAGTTATCCTACAAGAATCTGAGTAAGCGTAGAATTAAACTATATATGAAACAAGATAAATTGTACATAACCAAAGCCAAAAAATCAGTGTTCATCTACCACCAGAAGTCTTATGTGTAGTCTGCAGCACAAGCTTAGCTTACACAGAACCCCTCTGGGTCTGACTTTTCACAGCTATCCTGTTTTTCTGAACTTCGTATTTGTGATACCGCAGGTTATTGTCAGAGTGAGAAAAAGATGATGTTTGCCCCTTTTCCCTTACCTCAGCAAGCCATCACAAATCCACATGACTTCCAGCTTTAGTTTAATGATCAATGCATATCAACCACTGCTCATCTTTCAAACATAACTTCTAAATCCCAGTGGGCTTAATCAAGTCAACCAAAAGATGCACACTGTAGTTCCCTGAGGTAGCAGGGGATATGAACTTACTGAGAAATTTTGGAGAAATATTTTCTTTTCCTTTTAAAGATGCTGATTCTTCAAAAACTGAATGTTTTGCACAAGTGCCATTTTCATCTGGAAGGTTCTTCAAGTTCAAGATACAGTTTCTGGCAAAAATCTGAACAAGATGCCCATGCCCAAAATAACCCTTATTTTATGCACTCTTTTGAAACATGAAGCTCATTTGCCAGCAACCAGTTGCATGCCCTGAAGAGCCCATGGGTGGGGAGGTGTGTGCCTGTCTCCCTTCAGCCAAAACATCAGACAATTGCCAAGGGATAAGAAAAGAGGTCAGACTTACCCCTGTCTGGGATAGTCCGCAGGCTGTCTTGTGTTCCACACAGCAAAGCATTCTTCTCACCACTTCTTAGGAGCTTCATTCTTTTTTCTCTTGTATATACTAAAACTAATGCAATCTAGGAGTCTAAATCCTGGGATTATCCGAGGTCAGCTAAATCCTCTTCAGATTTCATTTTTTGTCAGTTTATTAGTGTGCTTATTAGTTTTGATGGTTCTCTGCAAACTTGTAAATGTTTAGAAATAGTAAAGGTTCTCACACTATCACCTTTTTCCTGTTCATCTGACTAATCATTAGCCTCCGTTTAAAATAAGGACAGCTGGCAAGGGATTAACCTGAAAGAAATACTTGCCTTTGATATTCGGGGGGGGGGGGGGGGAAGTAATAAGGTGCAATATTTTAAAGGAATTCAGCACATTTGCTGTTTAGTTTATGCCTTCTGAGTAGTTTTCATGGAGATACTGCACGTGTGACCAAAGCTCTTCATTGTTGGTGCTTGTAGACTCCTGCATCCTGGCAGCAGGAGTTGGCTCCAAGTTAAAGTGAGTCCAAATCTGAGACCAGTGGTAATATCTAAGTAATAAGTTACAATAATTTAAAGAAATTCAGCGTATTTGCTGTTTAGTTCTAACACTTTCTGATCACCATTATGTGATTCTCTGAAATCTTACTCCCAAATATCAAGTAAACCAGAAATAAAAGAGCAAGTCAGATTATAAATTCCTAAATCAGTGGTTCCAAGTGGTCCGTGAGGCCTTGGTAGTTGCCCTATAAAACAGTCTTAAATATTGTTTTCTGTTGCAAATCTGACAAAGCTTCTAAAGTTTTTCTCAGCAAACACAGAGGTTCCCACTAATCCACTACCCAAAAAGCAATCATTCTTCTAGGTGATACAACAAAGCTGAGAAGTGAAAACAAATGCTGCCTGGTGGTCCTAACAGCCTCCCACCCATCTTTGGACAGAGTCATCTGCGAGCTCCATCTTGCACAGCCTTGGCCAGGGGTTGCAGGCTGCTGCTGTTTCCCCCCAAGGAAAGGTGCTGCCTGGCCCCTAGAGCTGATCTGTGCAAGGAAATTACCCTCCCACTTCTCCCCTTTGTTCGGTTAACATCTACCATTGTTAATTTGGCAACATTTTGCTTCGAAATTCCACAGTGAGAGGGTGTGAGTGGACAGTGTGACAGAGAAGTGGTCATTTTTACCATGTATTAACATGTCCTCCCTCCTTCCCCTCCAACCCTGAGCAGCGTGCTCGACAGTGCAAGTCGCCTGGATGAAGAACATAAGCTGATCGCCAGGTATGCAGCAAGGCTGGCAGCAGAAACTTCTTCATCAGTAAGTGTTTTAATTAAAGGAAGGTACTTTCCTTCTGTTGTGTTCCAGGGACTTGGCAAGATCAGGGAAATTACATCTGACAGTCTTAATGATTAATGGATTATTTTTCCCTATCCTTTTCATCAGATACTGTTATGCTTTAGTAATAACATTTTTATGCAGTCCATTTAAAGTGAATAGTCCGCACACTAATGCATATCATCTATATACTAATGCAATGTTATTTAAACAGTTACAGCAAAGGAAATCTTGACATCTTGAACTCAGGAAAGACTAGAAAATATTGTCTGGACTAGCTCTGGTTAAAGGTTAATGATTTACTGCAGTGGAAAAATGGGGTGGTGAATCCATTTTACTCTTTAGTTCAAATATCACGGCTACTGGGGCCCTAAGTGCTGAGGATTTTAAAGAATGATCTTCAGCAGGATGACTGTAATGACCCCTTGCATTAGCCCCAGCTTCCATTTTCATTTCAGAGCAATGATTATTCTGCTCAATGTATCCCAAGATAGAAGGTGATGACAGGCTAAAACCTCACTAACTATATTCAGGAATAAGACAGAATGAAGCAGGAGCCTAATCGAAGTATATAAAATCTTAAATGGCACAAGTAAGGTCAGCCTACTTACTTTTTTTCCATCTCAGCACATTTGATAGAACAAGGGGCCATAAATGATGGTTAAGTGAGAACCATCTGTCATAGAAGATTTCACACTACCTGCAGCTGCGGGGGAAGAGAGGGGTGCATGGGTGCTCCTGGTCCACCAGCCCAGCCCAAATCAATCCCTTCCAGAGGCATGACACACAATGTTTCAAATTTAGGACAACCTGTAGGTGATGGTCCTGTTTCTGCAGGATGATAATTCTTTATGGGAACAAGATTTCCCATTAATAATATCTCTGGGTAGAAACCGGTAGAAATCAGTTGCACGTAACACGTGTCCGTGACGTGGGGGAAAACTTAGAAAACAATATTTAAGTAGCTTTTAAATAGAGCTGGTTTGAAGGAAAATGCTGAGTTTCTCCTTGCCATCCATCTGTGCTCTTTGAACAAGAGACAGAAGGAAAAAAGGCTCCTGTATACAGAAATCTCTCCAAGAAAAAGAATGGCGCCACATTAGAAGCACAGTGGAAATGTTTAAAGCTTTACTAATGGTCATTCTGTTTTTTAACAAACAAAACATACTAACAACGCTAGGCATCCAGGATAAAGATCCTGGCTCCCCCTGTATCAGTTGTGACATCCATCAGCATGTATTAGTTCTTCTTTATGCACTGCTCTGCTTCCTTATGGTTGGAGTGTTAATGGGAAGATGTACTCATAGCAGAAAAAGTCATAAATGGTGGTAGGCATAACGTACTGTCCTTTCCCCAGATGTACCTTCATCCTTTTTGAGGGTCCACCTCCTGGAGGAGGAGATGCCTGGCATCACATAAATTTGGGCTCCAGAGTTACAATTCACAGGGTTTTTACAGTGAGAAGCATTCAGATCATAGCAGTAACTCAGCAGAGTATTTTTTAATGTCTGATTCTTTCAGGTTGGAGTTAGAAATAAATGGATATCTTTGATAGCTGTGAAACTTTAAATGTCTTGCTCTGCATTGTCATTGATACAATACTGAAATGCAGGAGTGTGAACAAGGAAAACAATATTTGGTTATTGCTGATGAACATGAAAAAAGAGCATAGTCCAATGAAGCTGTAGTGAGCACTGCCTAGTTTGGTAAGAAATAGTTTAACTCCCACTTCATTTTTTTGGGGAAAAAAGGTTCTGCTGTACCTGAAGAACTGGGGAAAGAGGTTTTCTGAAGTATCGTCAGAGTGTATAGGAACACTTGGCCGAATGGGCCACACAGCCAAACTGAAAACTGAGTTCAGCTTTCAAACTGAAAGTAAAACTGTACTTTCAAGAGAACAAAGCATCACCACATTGGAAACACATCCCCTTCTATCTGGAGAGAGACACTGTGTCTTGCCTCAGTGTATTCCTGTTGTCTGTAATATCAAAATTAAGAGCCATATTACAGCATCTGCCTGCAGCAGTGCCATTGCCTTTTACGCTTGGTTCAGAGGAAGCTCCTAGAAGCAGCAGTGAATGACAGGATGAGAGTTATTTACTCTCGCACTTACCCTGCTTTTACTAGCAATGGAGCCGTACTGGTATGAGCACAACATGGATGCTCTTTTTTTAGTGTAGGCAAGCCTGGTACTGCATTTTCTGGAAGCAGATTTCACAGAACAGATCTGTGTTGAACTCACGGGTGCATGCTGGCTATTCCTCCTTCAATGCAGCCTTCTTGTTTTTACAACAGCAGCAGGGTCAGCAGAGAGGGGCATCAGATATCTCCTTCACCATTGATGCAAACAAGCAACAAAGGCAGCTGATTGCAGAGCTTGAAAATAAAAACCGGTAAGCATCCACAAAGTACCTGGTTTTGTTCAGTCCCATATATTGTGTATGTTTGTTTCTTAACATTTTTTACTACCTACTTGTGTACATTGTGCTTAGACATGCACATACACCTGCCCCCTACAAAAAACACAGGGCACAAAAATGTCCACAGAATACAACAAAGGCTTTGAAATCCATAGCCACCCTGTGCTTTAATGGATGTACTGTTCAATGACGTGTTACAACCATCGATACTTTACTGTTTGCAGCTGCTGTTTGTTAAGAGTTAAAAAAAAAAAGCCTGTCTTGTTTCCAAACCAAATTAACTGTGAGTTGGATCCTCAGTAGTACTATAACATGAAATGATAAAAGGATCAGTCACACTGGTAATGTTATGCTCCCCTGCTTTTATTTGTGAAAAAGATGATTAAAGCTCTCCAGAACACAGCCTGGCTGGGAAAGGTTTGCAGAAAGGTTGGAAGCAAGTTAGGCTGCTGATCAAATGAGACACTAGGTACGGATGTGACCGAGACTGAGAGAAAGTGTCTGGGAGAAATAGGCCAGCCGGCCCCAAAGAGGAGGTGCCTGTTGGTTAGCAGCAGAGGCTCTGGCCCTGGCTATCAGACTGCCTGATGCCGTGAAATGTATGGCAGCAGAGCTCGTGCTTTTACTGCCGGACTGTAAAATAGGGGCCAGCCCAGACCAGATGGTTTCGTATTCCAAGCTCTGCACAGCCTTCTGTCACCGTGTAATGAGCCACCAGCTCCAGTCTCAATTTGTCTTTCATAGTTTGAGTCTGCCTTCTGACTGTCTGCTCTCCAGCGCGTTGTGAAGAAGAGACAAAATGCACAAAGGTTTCAACCTTCTGCTGCGAAGCTTTGTATTAGCCTTTTGACAGCACTCCAGGGCTGGCAAGCCAGTCGTAACAAGTCCTATTAAAGTGCTTCTCCCTGAATTGTTGACCACTCTCACCTCTCTGCTTACACTAAAAGTAATTTTTTAAGTGATAAATGTTTTCTCTGATACTCAAGAAGGGCCAGGTAGGTAGGGTTTTTTAATTTTTGTTAAGTTCATGCGGTGCTTGAAAAGTTCACCAGGAAGAATTAGAACGGAGCAGTTTAATTAAGCATAGAGCTATTTCATGTCTACCTCTGATTTTTGGAGGTCTTGAAGAAATATTTCCCTTTATGGTGAAATCCTAAAAGTTTCTTTAAAAAATATCCAGAGCCCTCTCCCATTCCCGAGGGCTTCTTCTGTTGGTTGGAGCCCAGTCGTTATATCTACATTGATGAAGAACTTTTTCTCCTCTTGTGATGTCCAGTGAGCTGTTTTTGTGGAAAATTACTGACTTGTAGTCTTCTGCTTATTCTCCTTCCCAAGAGAAATCCTACAGGAGATACAGAGGCTGAGACTTGAACATGAGCAAGCATCTCAGCCCACACCAGAGAAGGCACAACAAAATCCCACTCTCCTTGCAGAGCTCCGGCTCCTGAGGTAAGTCCACAGCAGTAAAACCTCTGTCCATGACTGGAGTCAGTCAGTCATATAAGAAAAGAAATAAGAGATAAGCCTGGTTTATGGTTTTGGGGGCTTTTTAAAAGGAAATAACACAATGTGTATATTTTCTCCATTTTTTGGTGCAGCCTGTAGTCCTAGCAGTAATTAAGCTTATGCTTTAAATAGCATGCATGAGGAATCTCACATATTACTCATCTACATTAAATTAAGCATGTGCATTAGTGTTTGCAGAGTTAGGCCCCTAGGTCATTTGGAATAGGTCCCCACAGCCCTATCCAGATGCCATTAATTATACAGGGAAAAATGTTGTTCTGTTAGAACAAATGCTTCTACAAAGACTTCTCATTCATGCTAATCTAAATACAGAGCTACATGAAAATACAGACAGAATTAGATTTTAATTTTTGGAAATTTCCCCCAAGTGTTGAACTCTAAGGAGAGGTCAGTTCCCTTCACAGTACAAAACCAGGCTGCAGAATGATCCTCCTTGTCATGTGGGAAGTGAGGAGTAATGTCATCTGCAGCAGCTGAAGATTTAGAGGTTCACTCCTCCAATTATCCCACCAAGATAAAAACATCGATATGGATGCGTCTGCATGTTAATTAGGATACTCTACGTGGATTTACTAATTGCCATGAATATCACAGTGAAGAAATACAATAGTCATTGGCCCAGATCCGTGGGCTCCCTGCAAGTCCTCAAGTTCATGTGAGAGCCAGACAGAGAATCCAATAAGAACTTCTCAAAACACTTCATGTGAATGGAGAAGAGAGTGTAAACACTTTCTTTCTAGTGAAACGATGCTAAATTAAATTTTATCCCCCCACATAGAGCACTTCTCTCATGAGAAGACTAAAGAACATTTTTGGCCACTTAGCCACCGCTCACACAAGTAATATTTTAGTGGTCTGAATCATAACCAAAGGAAATTACTATAAGAAATTGTGCTAATTTTTTTTTACACAAATACTGTTTAGTTTTACTATTGAGTTTTCCACACTAAAATATTTTTGTTTCACAAATAATTACATTTACTTTCCAATCTGAAGACAAATTAGCTTCTTCATGTCTATGAGTGATTTTAATATGTGAGACATACAAAACTGACTGTGATGAAAATGTGTACACTGCATAAAATATACCAATAATGTAGTTCCTGTGCATCAAGCCTAAAGTCTATTTTAAGCAGGTTTAGGAGATTAGCTTTCTATGCAGTTGACAAATAAAGTTCATTATCCTTAAAAAAAAAAAATCAAATTATTGTGCAGTGTTAGCAGACTGACTACTTCATTTTTCTCTCTTCAGTTTTGCTACACATATTAAAATCATAATATACTTATTTGAATTTCCTGACACGGGATGTCCCTAGGGCAATGATACTGAGTTCCTCGATTATGATTTCTTTTCTGATTTAATATGAAGTGTCAGAGTCAGAAAAAAACTTTTAATCTGTGGGTCTGTACTGATTTGCATACGTTCTAAAATGCTCACCACTTGAAAGGCAGAAGATTGGCTTTTGATTTACTGTTGAATTTCAACGCCACCTCAAATTCCTGGACGCGTAAGATGTCACGAGACTGTTCTTGCCATGTGTAAAACAGCAGGACTCAGAGCAGCAGCACTGATTTACGTCTCTTACCCCACAGGTTTTTGGGGCTTGAAGCAATTAGGACAGTAGGGCAATTTAGATCATGTAATATTAAGAAATGCTGGAATCTGTAAATTATGTTGTGGGTACCTGTCCTAGGATCTTTCACTTAGCTGCTGTGGTGTTGCAGGCTTGCTGAAATGAGATGCTGAACACAGCATTCCTTCTCATTACCAGTGCTGTCTTGGAGGCAGGTTGGAAATCCCACTACTTCCTAGAACTTGCTCTGGAGTAGAGCGGGAGAAAAAAGTCAGAGGGGTGGTGCGTAAATGGCACACTGCTTATATCCCCTCTCCCCATAGAATGAATCCAAAACCCAACACAGGTCTGTGCTAGGACCTGACACTTTGAATTACATGGAGAGGGTATCTTATTTTTATTAGCAGTTTCTTAAACTCAGTTATCTTTGTACAGTTCATAGCGTTTCTAACTATTACATGCATGGAAAATAGCAGAAAATAGATTAATCCTCCAGAAGAGTAAATACAACCTGGGAGTGTTACCGTATGATCCTATGATATAGGTGAGAGAAAGCACACATGAGCAATCCTGAATAAATCAGTGTTGCTTATATCAGTAACTGCTCACCTACAGAGAAGGCTCAAAATTTGAGTTTCATATTTCTCTACTAATAGGAAATGTAGTCTTGTTGGCTCTTTCAATTTAGGATTAAATTGTCATATTTTGGAGGTAGTACAAGGCTAACAGCATAGTGGGTTTATGTTATTTGCAACACAGTGTATAAAATATACCCAATATGTATATTTTTCAACAATAATGTTGTTAATTACGTCATAGCTTCTAGGAGGCAACAATTTTGTTTTGTATTTATGTGGAGACTGTGGCAGGGACCTCTCATACAATTTCAGTGATTGAACATGTGCAAGCGCTGAACCCCCACCCCGTGCAGTGGAGCTGTGCAGAATCAAGGCTGTTCCCATTTCTGTGGGCACAAACTGGCTGTCACACCTGGAGTGGCTCGGTATTCACACTCACACAGGACCAGCACTGGACTCCCGAGTCCAAAGCGCTATTTTCAAGCAGTTATATCTGCACTGTGTGATACTCTTACTGTTGCTTTCAGGGAAAAAAAAAAAAAAAAAAATCAATTCACTGTGGTTTCCTGGCTGAATTTCTGAACTCTCTTAGCTTCTCTCACACCTCGCTCTGCTCAGTGCCCCTGCTGTAATTTCCTATCCTTCAGGGCACAGCTTTAATTTCTCCTGACAGCTAGTGAGGTTATTGACTGCAGAGATCCAAAGACAAAAATTGCCAGGCTTTCCCACAAGGGAATATAACAGAAATTTGTTTGAACCTCATTTGTTCTTTGAAGAAGGGTCTGTGTCAGTGTCTGTCTTTTTCCTAATCACTGTGTTCAGTCCCATTAATATTCTCAGTATGAGGGAACTCCCTAGCTTTCATGTAGCCCCGCTCCTAAGCACTATGCTCAATTCATACAGTGTGTTTGCTTTCCTGCGGTCTGTAGGCATATACCTCATGGTCAGGCTGGGGAAATGATGTGGTTAAAAGCTGTTGATGCTGTGAGGGGTAAGCTCTGATCGGATCTGGTTGTTTCTCAGACAGAGGAAGGATGAGCTGGAACAGAGGATGTCTGCTCTCCAGGAAAGCCGGAGGGAGCTTATGGTTCAGTTAGAAGGCCTCATGAAACTGCTGAAGGTAAGGAGCTCCACCTGATACTACCAAGGAAAACAGGCTGAGTGAAGCAAGAGAGGAGGAGAAGGAAATACGACCACAGAATACTGCAGAACTTTACTATTTCCACCCATAAAATTTGGCTTGCTTGCCTTCCTTTTCTATTTTTTGCCTTGGTCTTTCAATATAGGGATTTCAAATGATGCTCAGATGATATTGTTCCTTTAGTAAGACTGCATCATCATTGTCACCTACTGCTAAGTAGGAGACAGGCTCTGAACTCCTTTGAATAATACTGCAGCATGATGCAATACAGTCCTGTTTTGCTCTTTTGTAGAAAGGTTTGGCCGCATCTATGGATATCGGGCTAGCGTCTCTGGATTGGCCATTTGACGATGTCCAAATACAAAATATTTTTTATTGGTTCAGTTTCAGGTGTTTTTAGAGTTTTCTCTGCTGAGGACGTTAAACACCAAAAAAAAAAAAAATAAGGAAAGAAACAAATCAACACATAGAACAAGTTATTAGTTAACTGAGAAGAACAGCTTATAAATGTACACTTATTCCCTACTCCAGCTGACAGCACAGAATTGTTTTTGCTAGTTCCTTTATCTTTGCCCATTCAGTTGCTAGTTCTGTCAGACCTGCCGTTTGACAACCACATCTAACACTGATCTTAGAGATGCTTCCCAACGGCACTTGGTCATTTTCATAAATACAGAAACAAGCCCTTGTTAAACGGATGAAACACATCTCATCAAAGGATCTCAGTTAAAAATTAAGATATCAAAAAGCATGTGCATTTTAAAGACAGACTAGGTAAGCTGGAAAATGTGTCTATTTGCAGAGTCCAGCCCTGTTTTACCTGATGTGCCTCAGGACAGATGAAGCCAGAAATTCACACCGGAAAAACATGCTCTGAATAGCATAGGAGTCTGTTTTGTTGCTGGCCATGCCAGATAAAACAAGTGCATGGAAATTCACTGCAACATGGGTCAAACATGGCTCTGATAAAGACAAAAAGAATTTCACTGAAATCTATTTAGCAATATGTATTTGCATTGAAGTCTGAGTTTGACCCCTTAAGGCATTTGCATGTCCTCAGGCCCAGGCTTCTGCAGCCACAGTGCAGGAATTGGTGACACCTGAGCAGCAGAGCCCACCGAGTAGCCAGCAGGTTTTGGGGAGCTGGAAGTAGGCAGGATACTTTTTACTCTACATATGAAACACTGCAGTGCTACAGCTAGCAGTCACGGCTGCCTGCTGTAAATTGCACTGCCTGGACAAAGGGAATTTGGGGTAGGAAATGGTAGTAGCTTTCTTCATGCTTTGCACTGTTCTGGTGTTTCAAAGTGTGCAGAGTCAGGATCATCACTTGGTCATATACCTTCCACTACCTTCACCGTACCTTTGACCCTGTACTCCAAATTTGGCTTTGTTTTCTGTTCTTCACTTACATCCTGGCTAATCTCCTGTGCTGATCCTCTTTTTCTTTAGGAAGAAGAATTGAAACAGGTAGTAAGTTACCTCCTTATTGGAGGCCTCACTAACTCCTAAATGTGATTGTGTTCCTGTCATTTATTTTACTTCCTTTGCTTGAAATGTGTGCGTGTTCTTTTGACCAAAATTAATATTTTGCAGTTCTTTCACACATTATTTTCAAGTATCTTGGGGACATTTTCACAATTAAACATCATAGCCCTCTACAGAATGAGTCATGGCTACAAGGAGTCTTGATCTTTTTCTCACTCCTCTAAGTAAGAAGACAAAAGATGGAAACCACCACCCAAATTTAGTGAAACCAACCTAGAGAATGAGTTAAAGAATACTTATAGTGTAGATAACATTTTGAAAATGTAATGAGAGTTTTGGAACTTTAAGAAGAACATAACTGAGTTTAAATTAGACCAGGGCAATGAGCTTGTAATCCCACTTTGTCTAGAAGTCAGGGCACTGTGTGCCCATCTTTTAAAGCTGTCACTGATGCTAACAGTCCCATGAGTCTTCAGGACAATAATGTAGTTTCTAAATGGCTTCTTCAACCTAGATCCAAAAGGGCAAGTGTTTATGTTACTAATGGTAAATTTTAGAAGATTTAATTGTTTTGGAGCTTTTTAGTATTGAAATGGATCTTGGAAAGGTATTAGGCTAAAAAAAAATACTTTTCAGACAGCAGTCTGATTTATGACTCTGATAAAAATGTTTCCTTTTAACAAAACACACTTCCTCTTGCTTTCATCAGCAAAAGTGCAGTTACAAGTTTGATGTGTTCTATGGTAGAGCATGCAGAGTTTGCAGGTAATGCTCACCTTCATAAACTTAACATTTTGGCTGATTTTTGTAGAGCATCAACCTGTTACACACAAAAAAAAATAAATCTGATCAATCATCAACTCCATGTAAGGACTGTCTTTTTTGATTCTGCAGTGTTAAAAGCTCTTTCATTTGCAAAAGAGAAGTTGCCAACGTGACAAGCGTTTCTCTATCATATAAAATGTTCACTGGACAGTATAAGTGAAAGCACATTTTCAGACTGTTACGAGATATGATTTTTTTTCTTCTGAGAGTAATAGCCTTGCTGAATACCAGGTGATGATGCTAAGGAATTACTCTCACAATTTCCATTAAATGATCCCCATTACACTATGCCATTTCACGATCTGTTGAGAGAAACGGGATTAAATTAATTTCTGGAGGTATTCAGTTGGAATGAGCAGCCTGGCAATTCATGCTTATGAACTTTCTATTTCTCTCCTGCCCTTCCTTGAGAAAGGATAATGAGTTCCTCACATCCGTGGCGTTTGATGAGGCTGTGAGGCAGGCTTTCCCTATATGTCATCCCAGTTCAGTTCCGGCAGAGGGAGCAATGGGCTAAAGGTTCTGTAAAGCCAGTTTTCATTCCAAGGATTTTATCCTAAACATGCATAACAGTTGATAGTGGGGAATTTTTTTCCTGTCTAACAATGTTTAACTTAAAATCCATAGCGGGTTGACTAGGGATGGTGACTTAAATAAAATACATGCAGGTGTTCCTAGTAGGCGCAAGAACATTGATAGCTGCAACCAAATACAACATAAAAGCTGAAGCCACTCACATATCCGTGGTGGCTGTGGTAGCTCCCCTTTCAGCATGCCTTAGTCCTCAGCTGGTGGGGCTGCCAAGGTTTGGGAGCAATTCAGTGCTCGACTTCTCTGCTGAGATTACCAAGAAGTCACTACTGATTATCATAGCAGGTTTCAGGCCATTAGCTGTGAAAAACTACATTTCTCCTAACAACCACTAAGCAAGAATCCAATCCTACTAGCATTCCATTCCCACAAACTTGGACTGAGGTGAATCTTGATGAGTAAAATATAATTAAACTGTTCACCTGTCTGAATTCAGGCATTCCCTAATATTTACCTATTTCAACATGTTCATCAGTTCTGTCTGATACTGCCCAAACAGTATAAAAAGGGGAGTTTTTTACTGGACAGGGGACTCCAAATGCTTCGTCTCCCTGTGATTCCCAAACAGTTTATTCCAACACCAAAAGCTACAGATAAGAGAGCGCTGTCTATCATAAACACAAGATCTCAGTCATAGCTGCAAAACAGACACAAGGGTAAGCACTGGTGTGCAGCAGCTTTTGCATTTCTCTTGTGGGAAAATTCCAGTGAGGAAGTACGGGCAGGCATCTGTTATTTTTAGTAAATAAAATGCCTATTCTGAAGTTCATTCCTTGAGTGTGACAACTATAGGAAGCAAATTTTGTCCATTTTTTTCTCATCTTCTCTGAAAGTTCCCACTGTTGTTGGTGATCGCCAGAACTGAGATCAAAGGCAAAGGGGAGCTGAGGAAAAAAGGCAAGTGGAAGAGGGAACTGGGAACCAGAAATTCTTTTGCCAATTTGTTTCACAGAGACATGAAAGGAGATAGCTGTAGATCCCAGATCCCTTGCCTGATGAGCCGGGGCTGCGACCTCCAGGGACCTTGGAGCATCTCCAGGTTACTCTGTGCCCTGCCTCTGGAAGACTAGAGATCTGCATTTCTGCTGGAGACAATTCCAGAAACAGGAGAGCATCTGGCCTTTATATATTCAACTTCCCTTTCATCCATCATTTAAATGTTCTACAACCAATCATTAAAGAAATTATAAGTATTAAATCCTCCATTCTCCCATCAGTAACATGCTTATTCCCCATAAAACTAATCTGCCCTTGATGTCTCTCTAGTGATAATGTCTCTTACAAAAGGGGTTATAGGAGAAAAGAACAAATAACTTAATATTCTGACATGTTATTTATGGTCCAGGGCAAGAATTTGTAAAACTTTCAAGGGCAATGCTGAACTCCTCCTGCAATTGGCTGCTATTGTCTTTTTCAGAACGTATTTGCCAAACCGTATCAGTGGCAGCCACTACAGGAGTCAAAATAAATGCCGTGGGAAGAGTTAAGAAATCCTCCTGAATTCTCAAAATAAAGCCAGGGTGAAGGAAACACCAGCCCTCAGGGTACTTTTCGCTGTAAACAACCAGAGGGATGTGTTGCAGTTCCCCTTTAACAGCACTCAAGCTACCTCCATCCTTGGCATTTACCAAGCACAGGTTTTCAGTCAAAAGCTGTGGGCAGTTTGGTGTGAGCTCCAGCATTTGTTTTTCTTTATGTGGATACACGTTCCCAGGGGTTTTGAAACAGTGGATGAAAAGGGCACTGTGTCTCTTGGTATCACTCACCCAGCTGCATTTGTAAAAATGACTGTTTTGTAAAGTCTGCTTGAATTTCAGCGAAGTGATACTAACTGTGAGGTGCTAACAGCATGACATTTTATATGACTGGTGTTAAAACGTTTTCACTTCCAGCAGCTGAACCCGTAGCAGGAATTTATATTGCCCTATCCCCACAGTGTTTTGGGAACGCCTGAGTATATCCTGTAGAGTGAACAATTTAATAGTCTATGATTTAACAGCGGCTTAAAATAGTCCTCTAGCTCTGAACAAAAAGCATAAAGCTAGATTATTTATTGCAAGTGTCAGACTTTATGCGACTGAGAGGTTGCATGTACCATGAACTTCTCCTGCAGGGCAGGGCAGTGACCGGCTCTCACGGCAGCGCTCTGACGCAAGGGGCCGTCCAAAGCCACACCGGTGCCGGCGTCTTTCCCCTTCTCGCAGCCTGAATGGGTTATGTTCAATCAAACTTGCGTGCAAACTGGGGGGGGGGGGGGAGGAGAGAGGGAAGAGGGCAGAGAGAAGGTCTATAGTTTGGGGGTTGTTCGCTTGGATTTTTTTTTAATTTAGCTGCCTGACATTTTCCCATGCTTAAAGGAAGTCAGATCTTGACTCATATTTTCCTACTTACTATTTTTCTACACGGAAGCGTTGCTGTCTGCTAACAACTGACTTCAGGGTATTTCTTTTAGCAAAATTAACATTACCCAACTGATCTACAAACGGCATGATGTCTTCAAGCTGAGGGATGGGTGACAAGGACAGCTGGCGAGGGCTCTTGCAAAGACCTGCTTAACCCCTTGTGATTGTTTTGCAGACCCAAGGAGCAGGCTCCCCACGCTCCTCACCCAGCCACACTATCAGTCGACCGATTCCAATGCCCATCAGGTCTGCCTCTGCCTGCTCCACCCCAACCCACGCACCTCAGGACTCTCTGACTGGGGTGGGAGGAGATGTGCAGGAAGCCTTTGCACAAAGTAAGTCTCGTGAATAGCTTGTCTGAGGTACTCAGAGACTGTTTGAAGAATTGTTATTTCTTGTGATTAATGGCTAAATGAACTTGAGCTTCAGAGTTGCACGCAATGAAACAGAACAAAAGAGAAAAGTCTGTAAAAACTGTGTTTTGCCATTGAAAATCAACTTTGTCAGCCATCAGACTTTGCTGTCAAAGCAAGCAGGTAAGCAGAAACTGCACAATGATGCCAGTTAATGGATTTTGCAATGAGGAGTTCTGATGCGTGATGATCAGACCCAGTTATCGGTGCTCTGTTAACCAGAAGAAGAATTGCTGTTGACCTCAGCAAGGCGTTGTCAGTGTGTTTGGTTTTAAATAAAGACTTTGCCAGGAATAGATGATACAATCATAGAACCAGTTTGGGTGGAAAGGGCTCTTGTAAGTCACCGTGTCCTCCTGTTCCAAGAAAGAGGGCTTCAAAGTGAGATCAGACCTTTCAGGACCTTCACCGGTTGAGTTCTGGATGGCTCCTGGCACACATTTTCCACAGCCTCTGTTCCAGTGGTTTTTGTCCTTGTACCTGATTGAAACATCCCTTGATGCAACTTGTGATTCTTGTCCCTTATCCTTTTGCTAGGGTAGACAGGAACCGAGTCTGAAAGCCTGGGTCAACCCTTCCTTTGCATTTCCAGAAAACTGACAGAGGTGGCACCATGTTTCTCTCTCTTCTTTCCACTCTTTCGTCAAGTAACAATAAATTTTAAACTCTTCTGAATTTCTAAGGCCACAGATTAAATTATTGTTTCGAATACTAAAGAAAGTAAGTAGTCTGTGTGATCTAAATGAAGAAATATTCCTGGTTTTTCTAATCTGCTCTCTCCTAAAATATTTACATCACTGGAATTCGTCTATTTTAATAAGCTTTTTCCCTGTTTCCCTAGTACAAACCAAATGTAGGTGGAGCTCTGGAGTTCCTCTGTTATGGTGGAAGCATGTTTGTTCTCAGGAGCCCAGTTCAGTTTTCCCACACACCTTTCCCCTTGACTTTCGTGGCAATTGTGTCTGTCTGTGTCTTATGACAAGGTTGAATCTATAATGCAATCAAGAACTTTCTACTGAAGTGCTAGTCAATTCATGTATTGAACATGTTTTACCAAGACGTAATACCTAGTCCCAACATGACAGGTTGCTGGATATCTCGTTTTCTGTGGCAAAAGAACAGGCAAGACATATTTTTCTTCTTTTTGCTGTGAAAAAAATCAAGACAGGCAAAAATATGGATCTCTAACCCCTATGCTGGTATAGGACAGTTTCTTCCAGAGCCAAGAATAAGAGAAATAATGTAGTGGTCACAATAAAATATCCATAAATAATACTGAGGCTGCCTCAGGCAAATGCTTTTTAAGTATATAAGTGTCTTCTGTTCAAGAGAAAAAGCAATATAAAAAGGTAAATGATCACATTTTAAAACTGCTGCATTTGATAAATATCTAGCTTTATGTCATTATTTACCATGTTCTCTAGATGGGAAGGTCAAACCCAAAGAACTGGAAGCCAGCCATTCTGTCACATCTTGACATACGACTTTGTGAGGGGGGGGGTGGCTCCATTCTGTGCGGCACAGAGATCTGCTTATATATACATAACACAGACAAGCCATGTTAAAGCATGGTTTCTCTTGTTTGTTTTTTTTTTTTCTCTTTCATAGTGTTGGCAATCATTCAGAGATACAAAATTGAGAAGACCTTAGAAAGGACTGTCTGAGTGCGTGTGTGTGTCTAAGAGAGAAATTAACTAATTTACGTTCTAGTAACCATTTGCTAATGGAAATATTAGGAAAAAAAACTTTGGGATTCTGGGAATTTTTTAAAATGTCTTGTTTTACATTCAGCCAGCTTTAAAGAAACTGCAGCTCTCAAATCCTGCCATCCCTGTGAACAATCCAGTCTGGAAGATTAGAGATTCTGTGGGATATATTGATTATTCAGCTATAGTAGGAGCTATGTTTGGGATTTGGGGTAGTTAAGCACCCATTACCCACAGCCTGCTCCTAGGGAAGGAGTATTTCATGCAACTCACAAGAATCTTTCATGATTGATGGTTAAGGGAATATTGCCAGGTTCAGCAGGGAAGCACTTCTAGATCCATTATTAGAAAGAGTTTAAAAGCAGCCTGGGGCTGTTTAGAGAGGCGATAGTGCTTCCTTTATTAAAAAAAAAAAAAAAAAAAAAAGACAGAGTGAGGGAAAGTAAATTATGGAATATACAAGGAGGTCCTTGAGTTACAGGAAAGGCTGAGGGGGAACAGAGAAGAAAAATCCATATCAGTCTTGAAGAGGTCAAGTATGTTTCTTCAACATTTGCCATAATTATTTGGCAAATACCTGGCAATAATGGTGTCATTAAACAGAGCTGTGGAAACTTAGAGAAAACACTTCATTTCTTCCCTCCTCCCCCATAGACATTGTAAATGAGTTCACGCTGGATTTAATCTTCCAGGCCTCGTCTGCTGGTGTCACCACACAAATGCAAGCTTGATGGCAATGAATAATCTCCACGTATCTGGCATTGTGATTAAATGAAGCATGAGGGTAGGCTTCTGCTCTTGCATACAGCATAAGTAAATGAGGCCATTCTGCAGAGAACTCTTCTGCACGTGTCCCTCGTAAGGACTTTTGATACCCTGAATTATCACAATGGCAGCTTTCAGCAGGGTTAAAACTGCTTTCAACAGGAAAACATATGCCTTGTGAAGAATATTAACACTGTGTTTTGTCTGTCTCTTGCTTCAGGTGCAAGACGAAACTTAAGAAATGATTTGCTGGTGGCAGCAGATTCAATCACCAACACCATGTCTTCTTTGGTAAAAGAACTAAATTCTGGTGAGTGAGGCTAATGCGGGTGGGTAGTCAGGACATTGGCATTTCACATATATTTGAAAAAATGGGAGTAGGAAAGTATAAACCAAGAAAAAAGGAGTGTAATCTATCTTCAAAGCTTTTTATGCTTTCAGAAAAAAAATCCCTAAATAACAACTTCAGGAATACAACAGTTCTGAAAGCCATGGACACAGAGGTGCAGCTGGATATAGTGAGAAGTTTGTTTGTGATTCCAGATGGAGTGGGATTTCAGTATAGAACATATAAGATCTGTTGTAAAATGCAGCCTGTAGTACTCTCATAAAAATGAGACAAGCAAAAGCTTCACTATTCTGTCCCACCATAAGAAGAAAACTATTAGCTCTGCAGATACATGTGATGCACTCTTCTGAGTTGGAAAGGCAGAGAAAGGCTTAGAGAAATAGGCAAGTATACTTACTCTTGCGAAAGTTATATGGAACCATGTGTCACCTTTGACTTCACAGAAGTGGGCAGCGAGACAGAAAGCAATGTGGATTCTGACTTTGGACGGACTCATTTTGATGACCTTGTTCCATCCCCAACATCTGAGAAGGCTTTCCTCGCGCAGATCCATGCCCGGAAGCCCGGGTACCTCCACAGCGCTGCTGCCACTGGCTCCATCCGCAGTGACATGTGGGTACCTGCTCCACTCGCCACCTTAATCTCTTTCTTTTTCTGTTGAAAGCAGTATGCAGCATTTAATATTTTCTCTCCCTCTCAACTGTTTGATTACCCAAAAAACGCCTAAATCCGAGTGAGGACAGCTTCATGGTTAGATAGTGGTGAGCTCTGTAAACAATAAAAGCCAGACGTAGGGCACCCTCGGGGGTGAGCTGTCTCACATCCAGTCTGGTACGCTTGGGCAGTGTGGGGGCTGGGGGACAGCTGTACTTCCTAATACGCCCTGCAGTCCTATTCCCTGCTTATCCAGACTAAGGGACCTCTTGGAGCCCACTGGAGAAAGAGAAGTCTTTAACCGGAAAAGACAGAATGCTTTTTATTGACCAACTCAATTGATCAACAAACCGATTTATTTTTAGAACCTGCATCTTCCTAGCAAAGGCAATAGGCATCTTTCCAGTTATTTTTAGTTCAACCTCTTACTCTTAGTATCACTCTCAAATAAGTTATTGAGGACTTTTGTTATTCATTCCCATAGGGCTGTGCCCCCAAAATGCCTTCAGCAAAATATGCCCTTTGGTCTACTTCATCAATGCCAGACCACTGGAGAGGAGAGTGTTTTCCACTACCAGAAAAAGACTAACCGTTGGAGCGTGTGATTGGGCTAAAAGTATCCCACTCTCCTCATAGCTTATAATAAAGGGAAATTTTTTTGACTCTGAGTGTCATTCATCTCAGGAGACTATTTCTAATAATTGTCTTCAGGGTTACAGAAGACGGAGACCCCTATGTCAGAGCAGATGATGAAAATTATGAAAATGACTCTGTCCGCCAGCTGGAGAACGAACTGAAGATGGAGGAGTACCTGAAGCAGAAGCTGCAGGATGAGGCATACCAGGTGGGCGAAGGACACGAGCTGCCCATACATCTCCATAAGTGAGAAACCATTAATGCACCACAGACTCCCAGTGCCCTTATTAACCCATATTGGGCCCTGAGGCATGATCTCTTCTCAGTTGCTAGAGCAGCCACATTCCAAAAACTGTTCTACATGTTCTCTTCCACGTGCCTCTGGCCTTTGTGCATATCCAGGAAGACCACACTGCCTGAGGCACACAGCAATAGTCCTTGAGCTTACCAGGGCATCAGGTGGGCCACTGAGCTTGTTTTCTGCCAGTGCCTACCAAGCCACGTAGATCTCAGTGCTCTGTATCATAGAGGCTGGTTGATGGTGTTAAGCTGAGCCTTGCTATATTTTGATTTTTTTTTTTTTTTTCCCAGTAGCGAAAAATGTTCATTATGTGGACTCTGTGTTTCATTGTAACTGTGTGAATCTGAAATGTGAAGAAAGGTTCTGGAATGAATTGTGTCCAGAGGACCAAGTGTTCAACAAGCACCTAGTGCAGAGGAGCCTGGGGATTTGTCATTAAAACACCCCCTGAGGAAGTTTTCAAAGGGCACTAGTTTAAAAGTCTGAATAAAGCAGATTTGCCAGGGGGAGCTGGAATTCTGTAGCTGTCCTGTCCTGTCTGTGTAATGGTGTCTACTTCTGCCTGGTGTAATGGACTATCGCCAGTTTTTAAGTTATTCTGACTTGGATCATCCTAATACAAAATTCATTACTTCTTATAATGTTGGTAGCAATGTCAGCAGGAGGGCACACCCAGTTCAATTATTTGGGAGCAGAGATGAAGCAAGCAAAAATAACTATTTTCCCACATAGGGATCAATTAAAATTTGGAACTCACCACTACAGAATGTAACAGAGACCAAAAGTATAAATGGGCTAAAAAAAAAAGGATTAAGCAGGTACTGAGAGATCAAGTGTATGGAAATGAGGTTCAAAAGCACCTTCTGATCAGGAATTCTTTAAACTGCTGCATGCTGGGAGGTAACAAAATCTAGCCTTTTTTTTTCTGGTAGCTTTTCTATAGTGTCTACCACCAGTCACTTTGGAGAGAAGAATCTGGGACTGACCGGCTTGTGATCTAATGAAAAATGACTGCTCTTTTGGTCTTCTTTTCTGTAAAGCTGATGGGATAGGTTAGCCTTGTAAAAGTTCATTGACTCACATCAAAATTGCAGGTAGATTTGAGATTGACGTGAGCATCTTTTTTTTGTTGTTGTTGTTGTTTACCTAGGTCTGCTACATGCCCATGGTAGCCTGCCAAAAGTGATTTCATTGCAAAGGTCTTTAAGGACATGACAACAGGAGCAGAATTGTTATAGACTATCTACTAAGGCAACAGTGGGTGACATGGGTTTTTTTGTCACAATTTTTTATCTAAGATAGGAAATGCAAAAATGACAGCCTTTAAACTTCTGAACAGGATGAGGAGCTACTGCTGCTGTAATGAACAGTAATTGTCAGTTATAAAGGAGGAGTACCCGCAATGGTGACAACTGTCAGACATCAAATAACAAATGTTGTTATTGCTGATAAAAATTCCATTTTCTTGAGAAAGAATGATAGATCAATTTGCCTGTACTATGATTACACTATGGAAGTGCAATATATGGCAACAGCGTTACACAAGTTTCACAAGTTACAACGGGATTTTGTACATGCACAAAATTGAGTATGCATGTGCACTGCAAAGTAAGAGCATTCATTGTGCAGTAGAAGTTCTACATGTCGCTCAGTAGAACTGGGTGCTACTCTGGCTTCAGTGAAAATAGAGCGTTTCTACTGTCTTCCAACAACATTCCCAGAAGAAGGGAAGGAAATCTTCTCCCTATCGATGTCAGAATAAAACTCCTTTTGAATTTGGGTCAGCCAAGACTACACCCAGGTGAACTTTGTTCCCCATTGTTTTACATGATTTTTATTCCACTGGGGAAAAAAAAAAAAAAACAAAAAAAAAAAAACACGGGAAAAGAGAAGGGCTTTTTTCTTTCAAAAATGTATTCACTAAGGGAACAGAAAGTCCTCATTCTAGACAAGTTCTGTTTAACAGCATTTTTCCAAAATAAATTTCATGATGTATTTTACTGTCTGTGAGATTGTCAGCTCCTACCAGGCGATGATTTGACAGTAGTGACTTGTAAGTAGAAACTGTTTCCAGTTGATAACCACGGACTGAAAGCGTGCAATGCATGAGAAGTCCTTCCCAGTATGGCTGATGCCCTTTCAATTAGGGGACGGGCTTAAAGGAAGCAAGAAGAGGTATGAACTTAGTAAGGGCCACCAGGAGAATTAGGAGTTGGTTGGGTAGTGTCATGTATTGATCCTGAGACATGGGCTTGGGCTTTGGCTTTGGCTCGTTCTCTGCACTTTGCAGTTAATTTGTGGTATTTTGCTATTCTATTCCTTTTTCTTCTAGTATCACTGTCTCTAAAGATAAAGATACGATTTGCTACTTGCAAAAATGAAGGCAAATTGGGAAGTTTCAGTTTAGGGTATCCTATTGAACAGTGGCCAGTCCACTGTTCTCATTTTGCATCAAACCACTGGAATTTATTACAGGTTGTTTTACTATTTGTACTCACATGTACACTGCGTTCATCTGGATAGCCAAAAAAAGCTGGTGGCTGTAGCTATCCTAATGCAATTGTCAACTGAAAAAATCTGTGAGGGGGAACTCCTACTGAGGTTACAGAATGGTAACCTCGGTAGCAATATGGTAACTGTTTTTATATTCTTAAATGTCTCACTTTGTGTAAAAGCAGCACATTCACTAAAACGTGTAGATGTAGTGTAGCAAGGAAGATGGCTGGTCAAAACCCACTCTTGTTATTTCGTGTCACCTTGTCTCCAAGCAAGATTTTCAAGCTAAACTCTAAAATATGAGCAGAAAACCCAAGATACACAAGGAAGTATGGGACAGGGAACCTCAAAGGAGGCTTGTTTCTCTCTCTTTTTTTGAAGCATGTTGTAAATAACAAGTACAAGAAAAAAACACATTTAGTGCTCAAGTGTAAATGCTAACAGTGCTACAGTGCTTATCCTCCCACATCTGCTACCAGTTGTGTTCTTGTTACAGTCTTTTGCTGGATGTTTTGTGTAAGACACTTTTCACTGGGTTTATTTTCTGGGTCCATAATTGCTCCCTTTATTTCCAGGCTTGTGCATGGCTTTCTTCAGAATAATACACTGCCTGGCTGCTCACTGGCTTAATTTGTCATCTTCTTGTTTTCTATCCTTTGTTATCTACAGGTCAGTTTGCAAAGTTGAGTGCAATATCCTTCTCTCTCTCCTCTCAAGTAAGTATCATTATCGTTTAGAAGAATGTTTGGAATTAATCCTCATAATATGTATTTCATTTGCAATGCACCTTGTGCTGCCTGAGTGTATGTGACGATGCTGTTTCTTTCTTTTAACCTGTGTTCTGATGCCTCAGAATCTCTCTAAATCATTTCTAATTTTTTGAAATGTGGTCCTAGTCCTGAGGATTCCTGTTAAGCCACCAGCCTTTTCATCTTCTTCCTTTGTTGACTGTAAGAATGAGAACATGGGCTTTTCATCCATGGGGATGATGACAAATATATTAGCCAATACAGAGAAACCTTGTCCAGAAGATAAAGATTCATGTTACATTTCAGGAGATCTGAGGTCAGTTCCTTACAGTGGTTTAGTTTTCCCAGGATAGAGCTGAAATAAGTAATTTCTGGTGAGACTGGAACATCTACTCTAGTGTGTGAAACAGGAGTTAGGCAAGCATTAAAGAAAACTATCCACCAGCTGCTTAACCACAGAGGTGTCCTCAGATGTGTTCTGGAAGTTTAAAATGCCCCAATTCAAAGTGCAACGTGCTCAGCTACTAGCTAGAGTCTGGCAATTCAGAGATAAGGCAAGAAGGTCTATAAATTCCCTGCTGGCCCATATTCAGGTCATGTTCCTTACATGTACCAACCTCACAGTTGCAGCATTGAGTTTAGCATCAAGTTCAGCCATTGTGTTTTGATTCAGGAACACAGGCAGTGGCTATTTTTATGAAGCAGCCTGTTACTGTGAGAATTTGGCCCATGGGAAGCTGGAGACCACATACTTTTCTTCCTGCCTCATCTGAAGCTGCGGACTCTGCATTTCTGACTTCCTAGGAGAGTGCGGTGCCTTGCTGTGAAGATAGCAATGCTGTCCATCCTACTGTGACACTGAACCATGGGGTAACAGGGCAAAAAAAGGGAGGAGAAATCAGAATAGGGGTCTGAGTCTGGTCTGCAAACTGAGTCTCTTCCTCAGAGCCAGAACTAAAGGCAACCAAAGGTCAGCTATCAAATGGGCACTTCAAGTTGGGAGCAGGGTGATGTTCAGATAAGCTGTGAACTAGCAGCTAAGCAGTGAACTAGCCTGTGCCAACTTCAGCAGGAGCTCGTGTTGCTAGATTTTGCATGCCGTGTTTTATGCTTTTTAAGACCTCCTTATTTATTATATGGCAATTCTGATGGCAAAATTTGACCCTGATTCCAGGGGTTTGCAACTTCTGATGACAGTAGAATTTGGATGTTAAAGTGCGGACCTTGTGAAAAAGCAACTGCCAGTCTTCAGTGTTAAAAGTTGTTAGGTATTTCTGAAGCATCTGTCTCAGTGTCTCTGGCAGCTAAAGTAGAATAAATGGATGTGGAAAGCAAATAAATGGCAATACCCAGAGTACTATAAACACCAAATAACTGCTCATAAAAATTCTCCTAACACAGCCCCTCAGGTTACATTCATTTTCTCAGTAGCCTTGTTAAAAACATGAGCCGTGTAGAGTTTCCTAAACATTGACAGACAGAAAATTAAGTTTTCTTCTTCTGTTTTGTTGCAACTGTCAGTTATAGATCAGGTCACATGAAAAGGAAAACAGATCTTTCAAGAACAATGTATGTGTGTATAGCTATGTATATAGTGGCAGTGTTATCTATAACTGAATTTACTTACAATTATGAATAACTATGACTTTAAAGGGTAGTAGCATTCAGACAAACCATTTGCAATATTAAGTGGAAAAAAATCCTTTTCACTAGTGTTATAAATCTCAGACAATCCCATTTAAGGTTTCCTTTTTTGTTACAAAGCAGTGTTAACATAGTGATGTGGGGAAATGCATACTGCTGTACAGCCTAGCTTTCTTGAAAATATGGATCCTGTCTCAAATTAGAGAGCTGAGACTGAGCTACTGTCTCATCTCCTGAATTCTTTTGAAACCTTTTCAAACCCCGTCAAAAAGAAATTTTTTAAACCACTGTGCTCTGGTTAATTCCATAGTGAAATTCTTTTTAGCTCCCAGGGGAGCCCTTCAGCCGGTACTGAAGACTGAAACATTCCCACCAGTTGTAAAAGCCTGGCCCTATAGAAACTAGCAACAAAAACTTGGCACTTCACCTATGTCCACAAAAATAAAATCTGTATTATGGTACACTGTGATAAATACATCTGCACATGATAAGCATGGCTTAGTCTTCTCAAGATACACTCTTCTGTGACTACGGAAGATTAAAATATCTTGTATACTGTATTTGGTACTAATATTTCATAGCCTTGGAAAATAAATCCAAAATTGTTCATACAGGTCACTATGTCTAAAGTGCTTTTGTTGTTTGTGTTGGGTTCTTGCTTGAAGCTTAGAAATTGCATCAAGACTTTTGCTTCTAAGATAATATTAATCAATCTATGATGCAAATACTGTCAGTGTTATATTGCCAAGATGGCCATGGGAAGTTGAAAGCCAACAGATTTTCTTATCTCACAAGAGTATTACATCTGTGCTTATTTTAAAAAAGGTGGGGAAAATGGAATCAGTTTATTATAGCTTCTTATGAGTGATATTGCCATTGATGGCTAGACAGAGGGTTCTATTCATTTCCTCATTCATCAGTCATGGACAAGTAGTGCTGATGTCATTTGATTAAGGCTTTTTGCATTCTATTTGCATTTTTTAAACTGCTCTCTACAATTCTTTAGAATTGATTTTGAAATAATATCTAGTATAACAAATTCTCAAGAGACCAAGTGGTTCCCGTAATATATAAAATATAATTTAATGATGTTTTCACTTTTTATATTAAATGTACTTTAATACCACTTGGTTTATTTTTAAGAGAGTAACAGAGTGAATTTGAACTTGTTTTCAGCAGGCTCTAGGCAGATCTTGAAATTAGTTGAATGTGTAATTTTGACGTTATTTTGCCTTTATCCCCCTGATAGCAGTTGCTTTTTTGCCAATGGGAGCAGAAAGCCTCCATCTCTAAAAGTGGTTAAAAAGTTGTAATTTTCAATGAAGAGCTGTTGACTTGTGCAGTGGGCAGTGCAGTGCAGTGCAGACTTAGAGTTTCCTCAATTTTCTAAAGCAATGCTTTTTTAGTGCTGACATAGCAACATTTTAGTTGGTCATGTCTAATACATTATTATAACAGAAAATGAGGTGGGAGGAGTCTTTATTAGAGGTTTTGTTCCCGATGTTTTAATTGTGATCACATTTTCTCTATGCTGACAAAAGCATGTAATAATTTCCCGCTCCAAACCCTTCCACTTGGTTTAAACCTTACCACACAAATTGTGGAGTCTAGGCTTTGGGTGGCCAGGGGTGACATTTTCCGTTGCAAAAATGACTGAATGGCTTGCATTGAAACAGGTGGAAATTTTTCAAACACAAAACCCCCAAATCCCTTCAACTTTTTTACATGAATGCATTGCTAAATTATTGTTTATTCAACTTGGTTATTTTTCCAGGACAGAAGTCTTATTGAGTGACACGTTAGTGTTTTCCTCGCCTTTTCCCTTTTTCTCCAAACTCTGCTTTCACATTCACCAGCAGAGATTCGGAGTATTGACAGATGATAAAACCCGTAGGTTGAGGGAGGTGGTGAGATCAGTCCAGTCCACCCAGTGTGCTGCTGTGAGAAGGGCTGTTGGTTAAACTGAAGGGCACAGACAGTTCAAGTGCTGTGAAGACACAAATGCCTACATCTCTGTTTTTTTCTGGGAAGGAAATAAGATTTTAGAGCTAGCATACATTTCACTGGCCACTGATACTTTCAGCCCTTTGCGACATGGACCTGGCCATTTACTACTTGGGAAAGGTAGGACAGACGTGGGATCTGTAGCCCAGGGTCAAAGTCAGGTAACTGGCCCACAGTTAATGGATGTGTGGGTTTCAGATTTGCTGTGCCCACTGCCTGAGGGCACACAGCCCAGCTGTGCCCTGGCCTCTCTTCGGCTCTCGGGCCCCAAACATTGCTAGCCAGAGCTGACTGGCTGCATTTGAAGCTCATGTGCTGCAGCTCATTCCTTGTGTGGGCTTCACGTCAGGAGCTCAGGAGACCACAGAGGTGTAGATGCATTGGTTGATTTGACCCTTGGAGGTCATTTGTTCCAGTCGCCCGCCTGATGCAGGTCTAGCTCCAACACAAGACCATGTCAGCCTTGGCTTTCTCTAGCAAAGACTTTAAAACCTCCACAGATGGAAATTTCACCACCTCTATGGGCATCCCCCCTGCAGTGCAGTGCCACCCTTCTCATGGTTTTTATTTTTTCCTAATGTTCGACCTGAACCTCCCAAAATGTGATTTGTCCTTTTCATGGCCTTCAGCACTGCCAAGATTTTGGTCTTCCTTATCCTTGTAACTACCCTTCAAATAGCTGCTAACTGATCCTCCCTTGCCGCCTCTGCCCCAGCCTCAGCAAGCCCAGTTTCTTCAGCCTCTTCCTCCTAAGTCAGTGATGCAGCGGTGAGGAAGCAGGATACAGGCACTAGATGAACTGCTCACATCCACAAGTCATATTCCACTAGCACAACCAAATGATTCAGCATCTTTTTTGGGGTTTTTTTTTTGTTTTTTTTTCTGAACAAATACATAAAAAACGTCATTATGTGGACCATTCCATTTGAAAATAACGGCAGGCTGACAGCACAGTAATATTCAAAAATGTCTGCTACATTCACTCAGCTATATTTTGGTTTTCCTCTTTATTTTTCTCCTTAAGTCCTCCTCTTCTTAGTGTGTAGGCGTTAAAAAGCTGTAAAAGAACTGTGACCGAGTTAACTGGCAAGAAGCAGTTTTAGTTTTGTGAATATAATTCTAAAATTACACAAGTGATAGGGATAGTTTTTGAAAATCGCTGAATGATAAGTAACAGAAAAGAACCTGTGGATTAAGTTACAAAAAAGGTCAAGAAACAGTTTTATAACATGACAAATCATATGAGTCTTAACTTGGAATTAATTCTGGCATTTCCAAAATACTACAATGAATTTATTGCTCCGAGGTTCATTAGTACTCATTTTTTTTTTTATAAAAATCTCTCCATGCCAATGCTGGCCGTGGAACAGGGAGAATCCTGGAGACAATTTAGAATAACCCTCTCCTCACTCCACCAAAGAGAAGTAATTTATCTGGAAAATCTGAAGCAAACCCAAATACTTACCAGTACTGTCAATGCATCTTAATGTATCCAGTGTTTCACAAGCCACTCTTATTTTGCTCTCATGGATTATAACGATACCATCAAGAAATGTGAGATGTACCTATATTTACATAACCCTGAAACTGATTCAGTAAAAATCAGGCTAAGGCAGCTGAGAATTGACCTCTTCCGTGCCTTTCATTTGCATTTTTTGGCTGAATTGTGAAGAGCAAAACGTTCCTTTACTAAGATTTCCAATTTAGTTTGCAGACTTAAGCGGTGCAGATGCATGTCTGATTTTTTTAGAAAAACTTGGTTAAAATGTACCTCTGAAATTTTTTAGGAACCTCTCGTTAGACTTGCAGTGCAGGTTTCCTTTCCATTTATCAACAAAATGTTAATGCTAGGTCTTTTATAACTGCCTGACACAAGGATTTACTAAATTAAGATCATCATACCATTTGGCATGCGTAGGTATTAAGGAATCGGATGGAAGCATTTGTGCTTGAATAATTAATACAATCAAATGATGTTAGGAAGGAGAAGCAGCAAGCTAAACTACCTGACCTTTCTTCACTCATCAGCTTTAATTTAACTCTTTTCTGCTGAAGTAATTTGCATTTCATCTCTCATCTTGTAGACCAGCTTTATGCCTGAAATGAGTAGAAAAGAATTCATGTCAGTGAGGTTTGGTCTTTTACTCTGTTGTTAGCAGATCTCATGCAACATGAATTGGGTTTCTGTCTGAGGTACTTCAAGAGGAAAAGGATAAGCTCCTTAACTTTGAAAAGGTCAAGTGTGTAAATAGCACCTTTACGCTAAATATGCCAAAAGCAGAAGTTTGCAATATTACCTGACTGTAGATCCTGACATAGTTCTGAGAAAGAGCAGCAATCATCTATCAAGCATTTTCCATTACCAGCTCAAACTTTGATGCCTTTGATATAGGAATTTAAGGTACTTACTGATGCTTCAGGATACAGAGGAGCACCAAGGAAAAATTGGTGCACCAGCAGATTAGTTTGCTTACGAGCTGTAGCACCCAGAATCATCTTTTTAAGTAACTGCATTTCTTTTCAGGCGTGTGGAAATACACCTGAGTGTGTAAATTAAGGGTGAGGCATCTACACGGGTGGGGGGTTCCTGATGGCGAATGACTCTTAACTAGGTGGCTGAACACTGTGCACAAGGGGAATAATCCATAGTTTCGCCACCGATAATCTATTTGTAGAGCAACCTGGGACGGTAAGATGGCAGTGAAAATGGGGACGTGTGTGTCAGTGCAGGCCACCCCGGGGCCCCACAGCAGAGCAGGCAGCAGTCTCACCCGTGGTAAGAAGAGTTTCCAACTTCCCAAGTGCCCTGTAAGTTTCTCTTTGCAGCTCAGATACCTATGGCTCACCTAGGTAGAATGGATTTTTCACTTTTTTAACTTTTTCAGGGATAACCACAGGAATTGGCCAGCTCCTCCTTTGTTCTCTCAGTAAATCAGCAGGCAGAGGCTTTACTTGCACCGCCTGGGTGGGTGCAGCATCTTAAGCCAGCACTCTTTTAAAGCCTTCCCTAAACATTTCTCAACAGGCAAGCTGCAGTCAGACAGACAACGAAAGCTACGTAAGAACTGATGATGAGGAGAGCTGCTTTCGGACAGACGATGAAGAAAACTCAACTGCGAACTTCACAGAAGAGTGGAACCAAGAGGTGCAGCGTCTCTTGACAAAAAAATCACATACCTAAGTTCTGAGGACTGTAGCACAGTACTTTTGTTCTAAGAGTTGTAGTTTGTAGATGTGTGTTTTCGACAACAAGACTTTTGTTTAAAGCTAACTTGTATTAGCTACATCTTCTGTAACATGGCTCATTACTGGTGAAGAAAACAGACGGATGTACATACTGCTGTTACAAAGGATGGCGGTATTAATAACTCACGTGAACCCTTTGCACATGATATTGAACCTGTTCAGTTTACAATGACAATACTGTTTATAGATAGAAATTTGATTTCTCAATACTTTGAGATTTTAGTAGATCAGTTTACTATACACTGTACATTTTTTCCACAGAAGAAATAAAAAGCTACAATTATGCATTTAACACTGAATTATACTCCTGAGTGTATATATCTAGTAGCCCAAAAAACAAAGTACCAGACTATATTTGCAATTTGTTTGCAGGTCTTTAAATTAAGACTTATACAAAATGTACTAAAATAATAATAATATAATTAATAGTAGTAATAATTAAAAAAAAAAAACTCTCTAATTTAGGGCTAATGTGTAACTTAGGAATGTTTCTTTCAAAATAATCTAACAAATCAGCCATAGAAGTTAGTGTAAATATTTTTTTTCCAAATAGATATCATATACAAAAGGTGACATTCAAATGATATAGAATCTAGTTTTTAAATCAGCACAGATCTTCTTAAAACTGTGAACTATGTTTTGAAATACTCGTTGCTAAAGCTGTTTATAAACCACAGGTGCCATAAGATCCCTGAACTGACTGATGTTATGTATAATCCTCCATGGTATTGTTTCATTGATGTTTTAGCTTTAGTAAGCATGTGTTCAACAAACTGGCTCTTTCCATCTCTCTGCCCTTCCCCCTCCTCCCCCCATTATGTTATTTTCGAGGCCTTCAGCTTTAAATGTACAGGCTTAAAGTGCGCTTGCAACTGTTTTATTTTTATTTCCGAATGTGTATTGCCTTAGCCAGCCACCAGATGTTCTGCATGCACTCTTGGAAATGTGTAGTGAGACTCTTTCGGAGCTGGATGGAGAAATAGCTATCAGAGAAAAGCACAAGAGAAGCGGTGGGTTTTTTCGAAAGGACAGGCATACAGTTACAGAATTGGAGTTTTGGCCGGTTTAGTATTTTTTGAGCATAAAGTCATTTCAGGAGAAAGAGGACTTACCTGGCCATTTTGGGTTAGGCAGTGAGACTGCTAGCTAAAGAGTGTTTGCTCTGCTGTGACTACAAACCTACAGACACTCCTGAGCAGGGATTGACACAAGCTGGCTGTGGTGTCCTCCCCACGGCATACTGCTTGGAAATACAGACGCCGCCTGGGTGGCACCCGGTGCTGCTGCACAGAGAGGTCGGAGCCAGGCCAGGACCCGCTAGACCAGGACCAGCTAGACCAGGACCAGCTAGTCCAGGACCAGCTAGACCAGGACCAGCTAGTCCAGGAGCCGGGCCGTAAGACGGTGCGGTGTTACACGCTGGCCACACAGCTCCCCCCCCCACCCCCCCGGCCCCGAGAAGCGCGGTGTGGCAGCTCAGGACAACCGCTACGCTCGTGGAATTTTACTTGCCCTGATCCAGCAGTGAGGCTTCCAGCATCGGGCTGACCCGAGGTGACACAGTAGCGTTTCGTACAGATTATTTCGCGCCAGCAGGGTTTGCCTACAGCAAGCGGTGAGGTGCCCGTCTCAAGCAGGTTAACCTGGCTTGTCTGTCCTCGCTGTCACGGTGAGTGACCGGGATGTGCGCTGCCGTATTTACGTGAGATTGATACGTAGCTCGACCCAGTTTGCCCACGTTTACTTGCCCCTCTCTAGGCTCGTGGCTGTTTCCCTGGGCACTGTGTGTTAGGGAATGAGCATCAGTATGAAAGAGCTGCTGCCACTTTTCACTTCCCCGTTGTATTACTGCGCGTGCAGGTCTCTTGTCCGCGTCTCCTTGCGTATCTGGGCTTGGTCTCAGACATCCAAACGCATACTAAGGCTTCCAGGTATCTTCATGTAAGCTTTTCGTTTCTGCCACACTGGTCTTTGCTCCTGGGGTATGGGCCATCCTGGCAAGGCAGGCACCGTATCCTCCGATGCCCCCCCCTCCAACCTCCTCTCAGGAATGGGTGAGCCTCCACTAGTGCCTAGCACTCCACGTTTAAAGCTACTCCAGTGAAGCTGTAGATGTTGCTGTCAGCTCAGGATTCCAGGCAAGCATTTCCTGAACAGAGATAAACCAAGCTAGAACACAGCTACATGCAATGGCTGACTAATTCAACCCATGTCGTGTTTAACTGTACCCGGAGTAATACATCCCTCCCATCATCTTAATGTCTGCGTGCTCATATCGCTATGCTTAAAATAGATGCAATAGAATAAATCCATTGCAAGGGCTTCCAGACTAGGAGTAAGGAAAAAAGGTTGACGGATCAAGCACCTTTCTCTCAGGCTGGTGTCAACAAGGTGATCCCCAGGAGAGCTCTGGGTCCCTTACGCCCTGGAACTCTGGAAATGAAGCACCTCTTACTTGGATCTCCAAATATCTATTTTAAGCATTTTCCAACTGTTAAGCTGGCTGCGTTTTTGCCCAGCTGGTCTTTGTCTGTTTATTGAATCTTATTTTGGTTGTGGTTTGCGGTCATTAAAACAAACAGAGTTACAGAAGAGGTCCCTGGTGTGGGCCTTTTCTTAGCTACCAATGGCCCACCACAGCAGTCAAAACTCCAGGTGGTTTTAACTGTCACTGGAGGGAAACCAGTGGTTTGGAATCGGGAGGCAGGGATGTGAAGATATATAGGGTCCTTGAATGTCCAAAGCGAAGGTGGAGAATGGGTTGTCTGTAAGTAGTAATGTTAACTAAACTGCATAAAAAGGTGTGTGGCCTTTGTTGTGATATAATATGTATTTTCTTATATGCATGAGCCAAATTGTTGCATCATAATTTATCATAAGTGTGTCCGCCTTTACTTTCAGTCATCTTCTCCCATCCTTATTGGTTCTTGGCAATTACTGTAGATAGACCTTGTAAATATTGCAACCTCGGGTTGCTGTAATCACGTTGGTTCAATTCAGCAGACGGAGCTGTGAACAACAAGCACTCCACTGTGTCCTGAAGACAAAAGGGCATTTTTACCTTTGAACCAAAAAAAAAAAAAAAAAAAAAAAAAAGTATGAAGAGTTACATCTTGAGGCTACTAACTGTAAGGCATTTTTAAAACTACTGAACTTGACACCACTTGAGACGGATACAGAGACACTAAAGATGTCACAATATTCATTGGTATTGTAACAGAACTGCTATTGTATGGGTTTTTTTGTATTGCTGTTAAGTATTGTTTTGTGTGTGTGTGTTGGAACCTACTGGGGACATGTTATATTTTGAAGTGATTAAACTATTTAATTGTGTGTCTATATTTTGGAATGGAATTATTTCTTCATTAAAAAGATTTTTAAAAGTAATTGATGGAGCATCATGTTTGTGGCTTATTTTGGTTTCGGAAGTCCTGCCCCAGCAGTGGGTTTTTTCAGTAGGGAAGGAAAACGTGTCCCCGTGGTGCCACAAGCCATCTTTGCTTCACTGACACTGCCACCTCCACCTCTGTGTGACAGAGCTCCTTCCACCCCTTTCCCCAGCGCTTTGAGCGTGGGACCAGGCACCGCCTGTCTCAGGGGCCCAAGCAGGTTCTTCTTTCTTCCTTTCTTAATTCTCTGTATCTTTAGCAGTTTCACAACCCAAAAATGTAGGTCTGCTGTCTGTAAAACATCCCGCCCTGCTTTCACTTACCAACAACGAAATTCATCATAAGCAGAGACATCAGGGGCCTGACAAGAACCTTTGAGGGGACCCTGGTCCTCAGGAACTTGACCTATCTGCAGTAGGGTAATTTTTCTTACCCACTGTGTTTCTCTGTCCTTAGAAGGAGCAAAAACTTGTAAAAGGTGCATTTTAATGGCTTTACCGTACGCGCCTTATCTTTTATTGCAGAAGGACATGAAGTCTGTTTTTCCAATTACACTTCTAAGACGACTTTCCATATCAGGTGTTGCTAATTACAGCTGGTTGCTTACCTAAAAGAGCACGGAGTTGCAAAGCAAGAGCTCTTCCTTAAAGCAACAAGCAGAGACAGCCGGGAGGCAGTGCCCGGTCCGTGTCCCTTCCCGCAGGCGCAGTGCAGCCCCGGCTGTACACACACATTGCTAACAGGACGATTAATTACACCGGGGTGGAGGCTGTGAGGAGGAAAGAAGTAGCAGCACACCAAAAATACCCTCTGTCTACTCACCACATATCCCAGTGGCTTGGGAAGCAGATAAAACCCAGTCTGCTGCCTCCTCCTTCAACACTGACTGCTGCGGTCACCTATAAATCACCAGGGCTTATTTGCCCTAATTCCCCTGTCTACATGGTGACGTTCTTCAATAAAGACAATCATTTAACACTGCAGATCATTTGCCAGATCTGCTGAACTCTGTCTCCACAATCCGAGTCCAAATTCATAGCCGTGGGCTTGTAATAGATGATGACATATCATCAGCTCGTGAGGATAACTGTTTTATCTGTGCATAATCCCAAATCGCTGTATTTCTTCCTAACCCACAATCAGCCTATGGCCTTTGGGGAACAAAGGAGCCAGTGGAAACTAATTTATAGGCGAAGCCTGTTTTCCTCCTTACCTCTTAGTTACTCTAGCTACTTTCTACTCCCCACAGAGAAAATTGACTCATATTGGAAGAAATAAATTAGTTTCATTTGCAAAAGGAAAAAAAAAATACTAAAATTAAAATAATAATATAAAAAGACTATTTTAAAAATAAAAAAATAAATAAGTGATCTTTAGATCTGGAAAGTCAGCACCTTGGCTGCATCAGTGCTGAACTAGGTGACTGAAAGCATTTGAAACTTTCTAAAAGCACCTGGGAATTTCACTCAGCAGCACAATGATCTGTGGCCACTCTTCCAAAGTTTGCTTGGGATGCCTGCTGCTCAGCAGTTGCATATTCCCTTGCAAACAGCCCTTAGTTCTGGGTGAAACCTTTTATGAGAATATCAGAGGAATGCAAAGCGGAGTCTTGCACAGAAATAGGTTGTGGGGCGGGAAGAGAAATCACTATTGTTCCACAGTGAAAAAATGCATTGAAGAATTTCATATGCTTCAGGATCATCCCATCTAATACCCCAGATAATCTGCAGATTAAGGATTCCCCTTTGCTTTCTCCCGAGTGATTGCCACCAGCCGAATTGTCTGCGGATTATCCCACACTGCCAGCACAGCACCAACACGCCTTTGGCTGCGAAAGGCAAAGCAGCAGATTTAGGCTGCGTCTCTCGCCGGCTTCTCGTTCCCCCGAGAGAGCTACAAGCCAATGGTGAACAGGTCCCAGACTGGAATAAACCTTTCTGAGGGCCCACAAGTCTGGGGCTTTCTAGAAAAAGCTCTTTTGCAAAAAGCAACCTCCCAGGACAAGCCTGGGGGACATGCACAGGGGAGCAGGGGAGTCATGCAGCCACATCATGCAAACTTTGAGATAAGATGTTTAATGGAGCTTGGAGATAATGAAGACTGAAAAGATAGGCAATGTGAAAGAGTAGTTGCTTTTCTGTGCCTTGGAAGAAAATGGAGGAGGCCACAGCACATTTTATCATTGGTATGTGATGTTGCAGAATGTAGTTTGCTATTTAATAAAGTATGATCTGCCACTAGCAAATTAATTTCCTCATGACGTACATTTTTTACATAACACTCAGCAGTGGCCAGATGGCAGATGTGTTACGCCTGCTGCTTGTTATGCTAATTGTCAGCCGTAACGGCCTCCCAGTTAACATTTCTTCTCCTCTGCTTGTTATAGCCCGGCATTGCACGCAGCCTGCCTGTTCTTTCAGCACAGAGGCTCTCTATGAGTGCGTGTTTTGAGCGGTTTTCTTGTTACAGCTGGGTTCAGTTTTGGCGCCTCTTGTTACATGCCTGTCTAAAAAAATGTGGGTCAAACTGTTTTCCAGCCTGGGCACGTGAGCGTGCATACCTCCATTTCTCAACCTTTGGTCTCTGCATCCCCCAGATCCCTGAAAACCTCCCCTAACCCCAGCCTGAGGCGCAAAACCTCCCTGCTCCTCCTCCTCCTCCACCACGTGCACCTCAGTACGACTGCAGGGCGGGAGGCTGCTCCTCGCTCGCACAATCCTTTGTCCTTGTATTTTTGCTGGTGTTCCAGTCCCACACCAGGGTGAAACGGGATTTGCCTGAAACCTCCCCACAAGCTGTTTGGCACCGCGTCGCGGAGCAGGGGCTGCTGCTCTCCTGGAAAGCAGGTTTCTCACCCTCAGTGGGTGTCTCTCTGCCCTCCTGTCCCACTTCCCACAGAAGCTGCTGTGGGGCCCAAACTGGAGTTCTTCCTGAGTGGGATCCCTCGCTCAGGTCAAAAAGTTTCTTTTGGACATCCAAAACTCTTCCCTGGTTTCACCAAAAATGTTTGTACCTCTCTGCCCTGCAGACTTACCTCTCTTCATACACCCCTCACTGTTGCCTAGTCCCATTACATTGCATTTTTTTCTTTCTTGCTTTTTTGTTTTTTAAGACCACCGACAGTAGCCTTAAATCCCCAGTGATACTATGCACATAATATTGCTGCTATCAGGTGCTCAGCAAGCCTTGAAGAGCTACACTTTTGGGTCTGCGCTTCTTTTACATCTGCCTTCCTGTGAAAAAGCAAGAGCTTACGGGCTTTGTAAGAAGCAGCTTTCATCACCACATATGTTTTGTAGGTGCAGCTAAACTTAGAAACCCCCAAACAGACCTCAGCTCTGAGAAGCCAACCTATTGTCCACTCCATGAAGTAGCAAAGTAGAATTTTAGTATTTTTAAATGGCACTGCGTGCTCTCCAGAGCTGAATTTACATTTGCTACCTGTAACTGTGTGCTCACTCTCAGCTCGTTTGCCTAGCGCCCTTTGCAGTCCCCACAGCCCAGCAGACCGAAGGGCTCGAACCCTGTTTGTTTGGGCTGAAAGGCTGATATTTGAGCTACTGCAGATGGTAATTAGTGCTTGAGGGAGCACTGCTTCCAGGGAATCCTCTCATCACTCACTCTGAGTCACACACTTACTGGAGGACACCACCAGGAACAAGTTTTCTGCTACATCTTGGATCTAAGCTCGCACAAATTGGTTGAGTTCATGTATAAATGCAAGGAGGAGGAATGCAGAACACTCTCCTACGGTCACATTTGTGAGAAATGTATGCAGAAAGACACCTGTTTGCCAGTTAAAAACTGTTTTTATAGAGGTTATACAAGTCAGCACAGCTCTAGCATTGGTGGTTTTTCTGGCAAAGCAATAATCGACTGAAAAATTAACTGGGTTTGGCTGCAAGTTGAGCTTACCGAGGCTGATGGTGCCTGGAAGCAGAAAAATTAAACCATCTTATGTTTAGTTGGGGATCCATCACTTAACCTAAAGGGAGAGAACCCGGAGGACTAAAACCAAAGGCAAACCCGATCATTGGTTAAGCAGCTGGTCAGTGGCCAGCTACTGCTTTCCTTGGGAAGGAAATTCGTTATTCCCGTTACGTGTTGCGCTGCTGGGAGCGACACCTCTCTCTCATCTGCTCAGCTAACGCTGACGAGTGGCAGGTGGTTTCCCTGCCGCAAGGACGCACGGGGCTCGCTCCTGCCATGGCTGGGCCATTAGCTGCAGCTGAGGTACAGCCGGCAGAAATTTGCCCTAATAGCTCACTCAAGTTGATAGCAGGACTGCAGCTGGTCGACCCTTTAATAGAATGTGATGAATAACCGTGGGGTGTTTTCCCTGGCAGCTGAAACCTTTTCCAAGATGGGAATAATGTTCATGCCTTCAGCCACCTAACAAATGAGACAGAAAAGCTAGTGGCCTTGTCCAGAAAGCATGATCCAGCCTAATTCTGGGCTGAGGTTTCACACCGAGCTGTGTGATAATTCAAAGAACATGAATCCTTCCCCTATCCTTCGCTGTAGGCTGTCTGTATAGTAACAATATTTATTGTCTCGCCTCTGAATATAAACTTGACCAACACAACTTAAGCCGACACATTAACAAAAAGCTGGAAAAGGCAAGGCTTGAGTTTTGTTGAGTATCTGCGTCATACTCTGTTGCCTAGGTATCTTCATTTAAAATTCAAGGGCTTGTTTCTAGGAGTTATGAGCTAGAGAAATAAACAAGCTCTTTTAAGGATGCAGAAGAGGGCTCAAATTAGGTTTGCTATATTTACTTTGTTGTGCTCATTTGGACATTCATTGTCTAATGATGGACTAGAAACATAGATACCCTGCAGAAGCATTTCCCTTACTCACTTCAGCCAACTTCATATGCCCAGCCCTGTATAACCCCTGGCACAGGCAGACAGATGCATGCATACACCGATGAGTTTGTTCTTGTTATGTCAAGCAAGAAGCAACGTTCCAGATCCAGACTTCATGGGGTGAGTCAGA